ACGATATTATGAAAAGCATTTTTATTTAAATTTAATTTTTAAGCATGTATGGAGTATTTCAAGAACAACCATTTTTATTCTCAATGTTTGTGTGTTGTGAAAATTCCGTTATTAGATGTCTGTCTGAATCAATGCATAACCTCATCTTTTCTCAGCATCTTGTTTTTTAATCTTTGTTGCTGTATGAAATACAAAATTCAATGTCAAACTAATAATTTTACCAAGATTAGAGCAAGAAAAAATTATGCAAGAAAAGTACTTGTTCTTTGACTCATGTCAAAAATATTATCAGGTAAATGTGGACTAATAACGAACAAGCTCAAATTAAAGTTGACTATTTGTTTTATGTTTATGATTTTTTTTTATAATACCTATGTTTGATATTAAATTCCTCATTTCGTTTAATAAGTAAGATGGAGGCGGGAATAAAAAAACAAAATGCTGATAAATATACTCTTTTCTCTTTTTGGACGTCCTCATTTTTCAATTTTTATTCCTATAGGTTACATACTGTTTGTTTTTCCTTCTCTTCTCTCTTCTCTATTTGGATCGTAGGAATCCTCCATTGTTACAACTTGTCTCCTAATGATACGATCGATATCGATTACGAACCTGGATCTGCGTTAAATTTAAATTGGACCGGCGGTTTTTGTATAAACAAATCTCCCGTCGTTACGAGCCAGCGGGTTTCCAATTAAAACGCGTTTTTTCCTTTCCTGTCCATCGAAACAATGTTGCTTGTTGTATTTTTACCAAAGGTCCGCGCTTTGATCGATCAGCGGGTCATAATTAAATGAACACGCCCCATAGGGAAGGCTAATAAAACCGGGAGTTTTATATTCCATAGTTAAAACTACTTAACTCATTTTCTTGACTTGGGTGGCGGAAAATTTGAACGAGGACAGTTATCTCAAAGTTTATAGAGAAAGGTAATAAAAATGAAAAGCTTATTAATTAAGCTCGTTTATTTCAAAAATAAAAAACATGAGGCGCATCAAAAAGCAAAAAATTCTAGCAGAAACAAAATATCATCAAATAGGAACTAAATACCTAGATAATATATGATATTAATGGTTTGTAAATCACGGGACATTAATATGTGGCTGGTTCTCGTTGCTTGTTTATAAGTAGGACATAGGACTCACTTGTTCTTCTTCTTAACTTGTTCAATTGTGGGAAGTCTTCTCTCGGCAGTGGATCCATTCCTTTGATGGCCAGTGGTGTACATTCCAGACCTTCCAGCTTCCATTATGCTTCACACTTTCATGGAGGTGTGACTAGTTGCTCGAGATCAACGAATTAACATCCTAGTACTCTTAATTGACTGCTCCTCAGTGGTGCGCAGCTTATTAAGTGATGAATTGGAGTTTCCTCTTCTTCTAAACACTGCCTCACCTATGTTGTCGTTGCCCACTCCGATGATATGGAGATCCCTTCTTAGAATGCATGTGCTGAGACTGAGAGGCCTCTTTTAGTTCATAGGGGTAGATGATCTCGCAATGAAGACCCTCGACTGCTTAAGCACCTGTAAAGTCTCATAATTCAGCTCCTTCATCAGCTATTGCAACGGAAAGCTCCGGTCCAAGATACAGCGTTTTCGCCACATCTCTCTAAAGCTCTAGAACCGGGACAGCATCCATCAGTTGGTGTGGTTTGGACGTTGCGACTTCCGGTCGAGCGCAACCACGCCAAGGTGATGAATGACCATCATCTTGTAGATCCCTCAAGTGGGCCTAGTTGGTTACCTACATAAAAAATCTATACTATGCTATACTCCTCTTACCCTCAATTTTGCCAACCAGGATTTTAATGAGATCAGTTAAAATATTTCATTCTGGTCAGAACTTCTTCATTAGTTGTTCTGGAGATCCAGATCACTATGAATCCCAGCATTTTGAATGGACTTCCACAAGCTTTATAGACATGATTTCTGAAGGAGAGTTTTGTGTCAAACGTTACAGCCAGGTCTTTCAAATTGTCACATTTTCTTAATAATACGTGATCCAGATGTTAATTAAAAGTTAAAGTATCAGTATCAGTTACTTTATCATTAGCGCTACCCTGGAGAACGCCTCTACTAGCCATGAACCTAAGCGATGATTGACCGCGAAGCTCCGCATACTGTATTCTGTTATGCAGTTATGACTTTATCAATGCCACAAGATCATCACAAAATCCGAGCATCCTCAGTTTAGAGTACAGTGTGGCCTACCCCTTCAAACGCTTTTGAAAAGTCCGTGTATGGCACACCCGCCCGCCTCCCGCCGTCAAAAGCCTTAGCAGCGAATTCTGCAAAGCAAATCAAACTACTGATGGTGCTTCGACCTTTAAAGAAACCATTTTGTGTTATCAAGTGTTTCATTTGGTTGAAAATACTAGCACGCAGCGACAGCTAGAAAGCCCTCGCAAAATGCGATATTATTGATATATGCCTGTAGTTGGATAAATCAGATGACTTTCTTTTGTTTAGGACGGGAGTAATTTTGACCTCCTTCCAGACATCTTGTTTTATATTGGATTAAAATCGCTTTAATTATTTCGGATGTGAACCATACCCGAAATGATCTTTTATGGATAATAGATAAAGGCAGTAGTGTTTGGTAAAACTTCTCAGAAACCTCATTGACATTTTTATTACTTAGTAAATTTGACCACCCTGTATGAAGTATGTTATTGTAAGGTTTGTGGAAATCTGCTGAAGAATTTCGCCATTAAGAGTTATCTGCGTATTGACATTATCTTTGGTAAGCCCAAAAACTATAATAATACATTTATTCTGCAATTTTCAATTTACAATACCATAAAATACCAATAAACGACATAAATTGCAAAAAAGGAGATGAAAGCAATTAAAATTGTTCCAAGTACAAATGTGTACGTATGAAAATTTTAGGACTGAACTTACTCGAAAATCACTCGCAATTTGCTTGTTGGCTGAACATTTCTTGTGTTTTCTTTTTTTTTTGAAGTTTATTGGTGATAAGGCTTGTAAAGAGAGAGGAACGGTATTGTAAGTAACGATAAGTAAAATAAATGTTATATTAGAAGCTTCTTTAAAAAAGAGACCTGTGTGGTGGTGGAGAGATAAGATCCCTAAATGTAAGGTTGATTCTGTGAACATCTGTCCGAAGGAGTACCAAGGAGCGTAGTCTACGCTTATTCTGCATATTCAACCACTTAGCATCTTGTAGTTTGTGTGAGACACTAGAGAATCTTTTGAGCCTCAGAGACAATGAATGGCGATGCGGATGAAGCAACTTTAAGGAGACGTATGGTTTTGGTCTTACGAGGTTGATCTTTAAACCCATTCTGGTACTATCCTCGGTCAGTAGAACTTCTTCCGGTTCCGGTCATAATGACAGTGAAACGTTTTCGAGGTTCTTGCGAGAGACCCTGTATACGGGCCCGCCCCCCGCTAATAGTCGGGGACACTTGCGGCAGATAGGAATAGATGTCTCTAATTACCGCTTTCGCGCGGTGCGGCGTGTCGCCGTCACTAATAATAACGTCACCACGGCTCTCACGATACCGATCTTGTCAATGACCGAACGCGGAGACCGATTTTTTTAAAGCCGCGCGCCACGTTGCCAAGTGCCCGTCTTCTGAGGGGCACGCATCGTCTTTACCGTTGGACAGCGGCAACGGCGCTCCCGAGAGGTGAGTGAGTAGCTGCGCTCAGCTTAGCAGAGCGGCGGCTACCGCATCTACGACCATGCAAATCGACGTAAGCGGCTGAGGGTTCGACAAACTTGCTCCCTCCCGTCCCGCCCCGGATCGGATGCTGTTTGCTCAAAGAATTATACGCTGTTCGGTCCTATTGCAGGTGTGAATTGCGAGTGTCGACGTTACCTTTCGTTTAGCTGACTTGGTACCCGAAAAAAGTACTCCTAGAAAGGTCAACCGGCTTGAAGCTTGTACAAAAAGTGGTATTTTCGAAAAAATAAAATGTCCGTTGGCAAGTGCTCGATTCCGCTCCCCAGGTTCATCATTTCCTATAGCAGCAACATCGCCCCGCTTTTTATCCCTAAATCATCCTTCGCACCTGGCTGATTTTCCTTCCAACTTTTCAATTGATGGAACACTGACAGCACTAAATCAACCGCAAGAGAATTCTAAATTGACCACTACAGAATATTTCGCATTTTTTCTTCTTTCTATCCACATACAAAAATCTATCCCCAAGAGAGATGGAGAGATTTGGTTTCAAAGGTGGGCCATTTAAAAAAAACTTCCGTATATTTTCGACTCTCTCCTCATCAATCGGTCACTGCTTCTCCATCATCAAATACGTTACTATAAAGATGAAATTCATTCAAATCCGAAGTCACACCAACCTAGTTGATCTCCCATCCGGGATCAATAATTAAACAGCACTAACTCATCTTCAGAAAGACCGCGGACAATCTCTCAACTCTAGGTTGAAAATATTCCTTGAAAGACCAAATGATCACTTATAAAGAGTCTGATTTTCAATTTGAAGACCATCCTCGTGAAGTAGCTGTGATTTAGTTTCAACGGTAGGCCATTTAAAACGAACTTCCGTATAATTTCTCTCCTCATCAATCTGTTTCTACTTCTCCATCTGCAAAAACACTACTATGAAGGTGAAATTCATTCAAAAGCCGAAGTCACACCAACTTAGTTGATCTCCCATCCGAGATCATTAATTAAAAGCACTAAGTCATCTTTAGAAAGAGCTCGGACAATCTCTCAACTCTTGGTTCAAAATATTTCTTGAAAAACCAAATGATCACTTATAAAAAGTCTGATTTTCAATTTGAAGACCATACTCTTCTGGGTATACTTTCTATTTGCAATTTTCTCTTCAACAAACTGCCTCTTCTTCTGCACCTAGAAGGCTGCAATTCATAAATCATCCTCACTCCAAAATCTTTCCACCAACCCTGCTGATTTCCCATCTCTTTAAACATAGCTCTGCCACATATCAAATGAGGTTGGATTCGTCGTTTCCAGATGATAGTTTCGCTTTTTAATTTCAGGATCGCCTTGCGAACATGACGGTATATGCGTCAACACGCCCGGTAGCTTCGCGTGCAACTGCACCCAAGGCTTCACCGGTCCACGATGCGAAACGAACGTCAACGAGTGCGAATCGCATCCCTGCCATAACGACGGCTCCTGTCTGGACGATCCCGGCACGTTCAGATGCGTCTGCATGCCAGGTATAGTTTTTCATTTCCGCGACGCGCTGTGATTTATTACCGCACGACGTCATTGAGTGTTTTTAAAATGTAGGTCACCGTTTCGCGTACACCTGGTGCTAGTTATCTCTCGCGGGAACGCCCACGAGATCGTTCCTGCAGGTGAACCGAGAGGAAGACGACAAAAAACCGCGTCCGATAGGTTTTTTTAAATAATATAAATAAAACTGAAACACCCTCTATGACCGACGGTTGCGCAAAACGCGTATTTTTTTGGCGAAGTTTACGTTTACCGAGTACTAAATCGGTACGGCTACGTGGAAGTAACACGCCACGTTATATGGGCGCGTCCTGAGCACCTTTTGCTGTAGGGAGCGTGCAATCTGCATGAAAGGTTTGAGGTTGAAGACTTGAGACGGTGTGCTTCCACACCTGTGCAGGTCTCATTGTGTTAAGGAGAGCTTGACAATAAAAGATGTACTACAGGGTAGGAAAGAAAATATTCATTATAATTAATCTAATGAAATGCAAAAGTTTAATAAAACTACTTTATTTATTATATATTATAAAATAATATTTGTATTATTCTATATGGCAGTTTTGTGTCGCTGTCTTGGTTTTAACAATATGATCTAAAACTAGCAGTTAAAGTGAAGGCAAATATGTTGCTTTGCTAACGGGCCACAAACCTATAGATTTTTACTGAATGCTTTTAAAACTTGTAAAAGCTAATTTTTTAAAAACTTCTTTCAAATAAAAGCATTTGCTGCCGTTGCTATAACACTATTGTGAAGAATGTTAGAAGACAATCTTCGAACCATTGTTGAAAAAGTTCTGCAGTTGTATCTTCATGCCACCATTCGTTTCATAGAAGCGAAGGGTATATTAGTCAATCGCATTGTCTTTAATTGTGCCTAGCAGTGGGAATATTGTTTCGTTATTTGACCGAACCAGAAGAACGTAGTAATACTGTTCATTTTCCAAGAGAAATAAAGACTAAATTTTATTAAATAAATAAAAAAATCAATAAAAAGATGAATACCTACCGACTATATATTTTCAAATATTTGTTATTTTAGTGTAAAAATGAAACTAACTATGCACACAGCCTTTGGTTAAATGATATCGCTTTATGGGCTCTTTCGAAAATTCCAATTTTTGTTGCTACTTTCCCACGTTGTTTTATTCTCTTCTTACAGAGGCGCGGTTTATGTTTAATACCGAAATAAACTCGTCGCTAACGGGTTACTTTAAATTGTACCAAATATTTACTTGTGACATTTCCGGTGCATGTGTGCGTATAAGACGGGGCAAAACTTTTACGAAAAGCAAGAAAAATTTTTGATGAAGTATTTTACTGACGCTTACCGTGCTGTCTGTTAAAATAGTGGTGCTATAGCAAGATCTATAGACACAGACAAGGTTCCTATGGTGTGGAATTAGGAAACGAGATTCTATATTACTGTTTATTTATTTACACGCTTAAATATGAATGCATACTAGCAGCTAGGTGTGAAAACACTGTTCAACAATAAAATTAATATATTATAATTGTAATCAAAGGTAAATAATCAGACTGATCTTCTAAAAAATCGGCTTTTTTCATTTCAAAATTTTCCTTTTGATACTAAAAACAAGATATCAAAAGCAAGCGACAGGATCAAGCCTAAAATTATAATAAAACCAAGACGAACGCATTGTTTCTCTAATGGCTTCTCTATGCTACCGTCGGGCTGGCGCGAAATCTGACGAGCGAATTGACGTCACAACCGGTCACAGCCAATGACAGCGCGTTTTGGTTCAATTTTATTTTGTGAGAAACATGCGCGACATCATTGTGGGCCGTGTAGATCTACGCACGTGCAGACTCCGCCGCGGTCGCTTCTTTGCGTGTATAATACCGAAGACGATTCCAATTTCCGAAGAGGCGAATCGCATCGCCGCAATGACGCATATTAATGGAATATTTTGCATCGGAGATGATGGCGAATCCAATCCCCGGCTCGTTTTGTTTCCTTTTCGGCGCGGCGGAAAGCAATTAACCCTCGGGCGCTTACGTGGAATGTAATAATCGCAGCGCCGCTCTTTTGTTTTCGCGGGTGTCAAGATGGCGCGCGCTTCTTTTTTCTTTGTTTCTCTCGTTTTTAATTTTCGACCGCACAATATCGCCAAGGCATTCGCAGATGATAAATAATAAATGAGGAATTTCGAATTATGTTATACCCTTTACATTAGTGTGGGTCAATCTGACAAGCAAAAACTAGTTGCTAGTTACCACGCATGAGCTCTTAATATTAATGGGAAGATTATCCTCATTAAGTCATAGATTTGTTGTTGTTATTGACTGAAATATAATTATCTTGAAGTGTTTTCAATTTTTTTTTATAGGAAATTTAATGCTCTACAAAAAAAGGTCTCTTTTGGTGCTTATATTCATTTTTTTAAATAAATATATTCAAATTTGAATTAGTAAAATTTTAAATTATTTATTATCTGTTTCAGACACAGAAGTTCTTTATTCGAGAAATATCAACAAATACATTAATACAAAAGGAATTTTGTTCCGCCATGGGAAATTTTATATCTTAATACAGTATTAATAGAAAAATATAAATTTTCTGAATTTAGTTACACAAATCGACTTTTATTACAGTCAGAAATAGTCCTCCCTGTTCTTTGACAACTAGCAGCAAGTAATGAAATTGTTCTTCGTTTTTTTTTTATTATATTCAGAGACCAACTCTAATTCTGCGTCATTTATAACTTTTATTTGTTTGAAGGCCGCAATGCAATGCCAATATCAAGGAAATCATATGGTACGTCAAAGGTTTTGAACAAATTTGATGATTTTAGGGAGAGCAAGTCACTCAATTCCGTTTGAATAATCGAATTGATGTTCTTTTGATCGATCTCAAATTTTTGAACCCTAGAATTTACACCGTCTGGACTACCTTCTTTTTTTTTATATCGAGTGGAACAGTATCATCGAACAGTGACAAATTATCAATAAAATCGGGCTTAATGATCTAGTGGTCATATGATATATATGAGACTAAATCGAAAATGCAAAACTATAATCAGGATAATCTTCCCATTAATAATTAAGAGCTCATACGTGGTAAAACTAGTTTTTGAGTATCTGAAAAAAAGAAAGAAAAGAGGTTTTTTTAGCCAATCTACTTTACAAAACTAATGAAACTAAAATAGTTTGAAGCTCCAATGGCCTTTGTTTAATCGCGTAATTCAATCAATGCATTGAAAAAAAACAAAAAAAAGTAGTAAAATAAAGAAAATGAAATTTTCTTCTAGTCTCAACGCTGAAACATTCTCCCACATTCAAAGAAATCCAAACTATACTAAATGTTTTTTTTTAATTCGGTGATCAAATTACGTTATCCATCTTACATTTTTGGAGAAGTCTTAACTTTTTGATGTGATTTCATTTATTTCATTAATTTTATGGTTAACTTTTTACATTATTCTTTCTAAATTTTTCGATGGCATTCAATTATTATTTGGGGATTTGTACACCGAAAGAAACATATACATAATTATGATTACATTTTTCAGACAGAAATTTTAATTCGGTGGTCAATTATAATAAACTTGATGCTGTATTTAACAAACTAATTAATTATTAATAAAGGCAGTTAACCATTGTTTGCTTATATTAAATTTGATTACTAGCCATAGTTAAAACAAACTTTTGTAATTGTAAATTTGTGAATTAGTCAGTATATTTTTTAATACTAATGGAAACTTTATTGCAAATAAAACTTTTGGTTTCCTTTGTACAAAACAATTAATTTTTTTAAATAACAAACTTACCAATTCGTTTAAATATTTCATAACTTTCTAAAATCGATGCAAAAAACAAAATAAATTTTATAAGAAAAACAAATAAATGTCATAGGCGATTGAAAGCATATCTTAAAATACCTGTTAAAATCATTTTTTCTTTAAAATAAAATTATTTATTACCTATTGCCAATTGCCAAAAATGAACTTTCAATTGTACCACCTCACCAAACATAAAAAATACTTTTATCCTTTTTTAAATTAGATTTTACTATTAATTATATAAACAGCTCTAACGATTAGTATAAAATTTTACTATTATATGTCCCTAATTTATATTTTCACGCAGCAGTTCCGCGCCGTACCCTTTTCCTTTACTCTTAACGCCCTCTATCGACCCCGTGTTTAATTTTTTATATATAGCCTCACCATCTTGCGTCAGAGCCTCACTTCAAACCATGCCGCAGATAAATATCTCTCGAGCGGAAAATTACCATGAACACATCCGCCATATTCGATACACGTAATTGCAGGTTTTACGGGTACCCAATGCGAAATCGACATCGACGAGTGCAAAGACAAACCGTGCCTCAACGGCGGCGTCTGCCACGACCTCATCAACTCTTTCAAATGTACCTGCGCGATCGGTTTCACCGGGTCCCGATGCCAGATCAACATCGACGACTGCGTATCCGCGCCTTGTCGCAACGGCGGCCTCTGCCACGATTCCGTAGCAGGATACACGTGCGAGTGCCCGCCCGGATTCACCGGACTTTCCTGCGAAACTAACATCAACGACTGCCAATCTTCGCCGTGTCACCACGGCGAATGCATAGATGGAGAAAATTCTTTTTCCTGCACGTGCCATCCGGGATACGCGGGGTACCTTTGCCAGCACCAGATCAACGAGTGCGAGTCGAACCCTTGCCAGTACGGCGGCATATGTCAGGACCTCATCAACGGGTACCAGTGCCTCTGCAAGGCCGGTACCTCGGGTCCCAACTGCGAGATCAACGTCAACGAGTGCTACAGCAATCCATGTCGCAACGGTGCTAGATGCGTCGACGGTATCAACAGGTAAGAAAGTCTTCCGAAACCAAAACTAACCGATACTAACCAAAACCATGGCGTTTTTTCATGCCTGCAGTGGGAACCAATTTCAAATGTAAGTGGAAAGGCGTGTGTGATGCATGATATTTAATTAATATTACATACTTGCTTACTCACAACCCTGGATGGGTCTTATCCGACAAAATAACGCGTCTCCAGTGTGTTCCGTTTGTCATGACTTCATGATCTACATCCTCATCTGAGGACGTGTCTGCTCCTCTTGATATTATCATTAAAACTGCTATTGTCTTTTTAATATCTTGTTTTTTTTGCCAAGAGTAAGTGGGTGTTTGTTGTATGGGTCGTGAGTGATATATAGCTTGTTTTTCTCTAAAGTACTTTACACCCTTGGACCCTGAAAGCTTGATAAGCATATTCTGCTCTATATAGTACTTCTTTATATTTCTTCTTTGTCAATGATCGATTTTACTACTCTCAAATATCTGCTTTTTCCAAACAAAATTCATATCCGTCAAATTTTTCCATAGCGGTTTTCTACGATAGGTGTTTCCTTTATTAAATTAAGAAAATTGAACTTTTCTTCGAGCATATCTTGTGCGATTATAGAGGATTTTTGCTGGTCTTTCTGGACTTTTTTTATTCTGCTGCCTTTCTTTCCTGCAATAATTTAAATACAGTGGTTGTTCTAATTCCAGTCAGTATGGAAAAAAAGGAATAAAAAAAAAAAAATTCTTTACTGTTTGCTATTATCTTGTCTCGTCTGTTTTCGATGCCCATTTCTCTTAGATTTTCAATAGTATTTTCTAACCACCTTTTTCGCTGACGACCGCTTCTTCTTCTTCCTTCATCCGCTTTCTGCAATATCCTTTTCGCCCATCTACCTCCATTAATCAGCCTGACATCCCCTAATCAGCGTAGCCTCTCTTTCTTCACTTCCCTTGGTTGTCCGAATTCCGAATTTCCTCATTAGTTTTTCTTCTCTATTCCGTTTCATTTACTTTAACACCTTCTAATATTTTCCTCAACATTTTTCTTTCCCAGATTGCTAATTTCTGTTCTTCTTCTTCTAATCATTGTACTCCGCCTGTCCATTTTGCGCCAAAGTGACACCTAAATACTCAAATTGATAAACATTCGAAGATGTATTCCCTAGTGTCCACTTTAAATGTGACATATGCTTCATTGAAATTTGTGGCAGTTCCTTTACAGATATTTCGTTTTTTTTCTCATTAATCATCAACTCGTAATATTTTAGAATTTTTTCGACGTTTTTAAATATAATTTCTACCTCTTTCCTGGCTCTTGCTAGGAGCGTAGGCTAAACATTGATGTTCAGTATCATAGATTGTTCTTTTTCTATCGATTCCACTATCTCTAAATACCATTTCCAAGACCAGATTAAAAAGCCAAGTCGATAACGGGTCTCCCGTCTCAGATCTCTACCCACCTTAAAACGTTCCGGCTATCAAGAATCACCCTGTTCTCCATATTACTCAAACTCATTAATCTTTGGATCTTCCTCGGGACTTGCAGTCTCTGTAACACCCGAAGATGAGATTCTCTGCTGATTTCTGTTGTTTTTCTTCTAATCATTGTGTTATAAATCCTTATCGTGGCTGCTCTTAATACCTCTTTACCTCTTGGCATTTTATTTAAAGTAATTTCTTTTCTTCTTCTTCTTCTAATCATTGTCTTATTAATCCTTATCTTACCTGCTCTTGATACATCATTGGCATTTAGTATTTTATTTAAAGCCCCAGCCGCTATATAAGCTTGCTTAAAGTCTGCAAATAATAAATTCAGATTTAGGTTTTGTTCTCACGTGTTAGCTGAATCATTTTAAAGGTAAAAATTTGATCACTAATACTTTTTTTCCTCTGAATCTTCCCCTCCTACTCTTTCCTGAATAACCGATACTAAAATACACACACTAAAATTTTTAATACGTATTTATGGAATGTTCTCCTATTTACATGTTTTTTTGGTTTAATTTTCCCCCTGTGCCTATGGACTACCAATATTGGTCGTACTTCGCACTATATGGAATCAGATTTTTTATGTTTGAATGCTTGACTGCTTGAAGAAGCAAGGGCTCAAACCCTAAGGTCGTTTTTCAAGCAAGCAAGCAAAGCACCTATAGACGTATTGATCTGGTAATGCTCTCTAGTTACACCTGCGAGTGCGTACCGGGATTCACGGGCCGCCATTGCGAGAACGACATCGACGAGTGCGCGTCGAACCCGTGCGCAAACGGGGGCGTCTGCATCGACATGGTCAACGGTTTTCGCTGCGAATGCCCCAGGGGTTACTACGACGCGCGCTGCCTCAGCGACGTCGACGAATGCAAGTCGAATCCGTGCAGACACGGGGGTAGCTGCGAGGACGGCGTCAACCAGTTCATCTGTCACTGTCTACCCGGTTACGGCGGCAAACAATGCGAAATCAACATCGACGAATGCGCCTCGAATCCTTGCCAACATGGCGGCATATGCCACGACCACCTCGCTTCGTATACGTGCGAGTGTCTGGCCGGATATTCCGGCATCAATTGCGAATCGAATATTGACGACTGCGCCGTCAACCCGTGCAAGAACGGCGGTTCGTGTATCGATCTGGTTAACGATTACAAATGCGTCTGCGAGCTGCCGTTCACCGGCAGAGAGTGCCAGGACAGGCTCGATCCGTGTTCGCCCAACAGATGTCGCCACAACGCAAAGTGCACGCCCAGCTCGAACTATATGGACTTCGCGTGCACCTGCAGCTTGGGCTTCACCGGGAGGTTCTGCGAGCAGGACGTCGACGAGTGCGTCGTTTCCAAACCGTGCAGGAACGGCGCCACCTGCAGGAACATCAACGGATCGTATCAGTGCATATGCGCCAGAGGTTACGAGGGCAAAGATTGTTCCATCAATACCGACGACTGCGCCTCGTGTGAGTATTGAAAGGTCTTTTATCTTATGCCACTACTACCAATATCATTTATAAATAATACAATACAATACACATGATATATTGTGCAAATAGGGTACATATTAAACTTAACATAACATTGTTCTAAATAAAATGAGTGATTTCAAAAGTCTCTACTATGATTGATCTGTGTATGGAATATCAGATTCTAAATACACCCCAAACTCGTGACCAATTCTGCCCACTCCACAAAGTGTCTGGACTATTCCATCATCCTCCAGGTTTATTAACATGTTCATATAGTGGGATAACTTCTTAGTAATTGCGACGACCGAGTCATCTATCAGATCTCATCTGGCCTGGATACCAGGGTGAATACAAGATTCCGGAAACGGAGGAATACAAATCCATAGAAATTCACTCAAAGCAAGCACTGATTCACAAAACTATAGACACTACGCCTCTAACAATGCAATTAAAAGATGTACTGAACAACATTTTCTCGAACGACGCCATTTTAAAATCGATTTCTAACATTTTTGGAACCGAGCTGGAACAAACGTCCGCCATGTGCGATGGATCCATCCGAATTCCATTATGATTGGTTATCATAACCTTTGCTTCTCCGTCCCAATTCATAGAGCCTCCATTTAGCTGCATTTATTCTCAAACCATCTAACTCTTGGTGTTTCAGTCCCGTGCCAGAACGGTGGCACGTGCCTCGACGGTATCGGCGAATTCATGTGCCTCTGCGTCAGCGGTTTCGAGGGCAAACAATGCGAGATCGACGTGGACGAGTGCCTATCCAGCCCGTGCAAGAACGGAGCCACTTGCAACCAATACGTCGCCTCTTACACTTGCACGTGTCCGTTGGGTTTCTCCGGCACCAACTGCCAAACCAACGACGAGGACTGCACCGAGAGCAGTTGCATGTACGGCGGCACGTGCATAGACGGCATCAACTCGTACACTTGCACGTGCAAGCCGGGCTATACCGGTTCCAATTGCCAGAACCGGATCAACCTCTGCGACAGCTCGCCGTGTAGGAACGGTGCCAATTGCCAGGACCACACCACCCATTACACGTGCCATTGTCCGTACGGGTACACGGGCAAGGACTGCGGCGAGTACGTGGATTGGTGCGCGACAGATCCGTGCGAGAACCAAGCCACGTGTCACCAGATCAAGAACCAATATCAGTGCACGTGCGGTCCAGGGTGGACCGGCAAAGTATGTGACGTCGAAATGGTGAGCTGCAAAGACGCGGCCGCGAGGAAGGGCGTCCCCTGGAAAGTCCTATGTAATAACGGCACGTGCGAGACGATCGGCAACTCCCATCGTTGCCATTGCAAGGAAGGTTACACCGGGTCGTACTGTCAGAAGGAGATCAACGAATGCGAGACGGCGCCGTGTCAGAACGGCGCCACCTGTCGGGATTTGATCGGGTCGTACTCGTGCGAATGTTCGAAGGGTTTCCAAGGGCAGAACTGCGAACTCAACGTAGACGATTGCCAGCCGAATCCGTGCCAGAACGGTGGCACGTGCCACGATCTGGTGGATAATTTCTTGTGCTCGTGTCCGTCGGGCACCCTCGGTTACCTTTGCGAGATTAACCACGACGATTGTAGTTCGGACGCGTGCCACAATGGCGGCACCTGCGTCGACAAAGTGGGAGGGTTCGAATGCAAATGTCCGCCAGGTAAGTTTAATTGTAATCCGTTGCTCTTAATTTTTTTTTTTGATAAATTCATGGCAATAGTTTGTGTCTTTTGTTTATAATAATAATACTAATAATAAAATATCTTTATTTAATAAAAGGTAGTAAAACGACGTCAACACAACTAAATACATTCTACATACTCTATACACAAACATTATTCATTTAGTAGGATCCAATTGCACTCAGATGTATTTTTTGTAATTTTTGATGTCAGTTAAACTTCCTTTCTCTGGTAGGTTATATATGGGATATAATCAATTATATTATATGTACAATAGTTCTGGACTGGATTATTCATTATATTTTGACACCCACTTCCAGGGTTAATTTTGAAAGACAAAAAAAAATATAAATATAAAAGTTGAATGCGGGCAGTGAACAATATGGTGGTCGGGCCAATTATCTATGAAAAAATCTTGAATGGCCAATGATATTTAAATTTCCTTGCAACAGAAATAGAACAGAAAATGTGCCAGTTAGGAATTATTTAATTTGGCATCAAGATGGCTCACCTCCACATAATGTCCAACCGGTTACCGATTATCTAAATAATAAATATGGAGTTTGGATAGGTAGGCAAGGAGCTATCAAATGGCCTGCCAACAGCCCCGACCTGAATCCTTGTGACATTTCTTGTGAAAATACCTAAAAAATAAAATTTATTATAATAGGCCTGAAAGTTTACAAGTGATAAGAGAAAGACTTAATATTGTTTTACAAGATTTGAACAGAGAAAACCCGCATTTTATCACCATCTGAGGATGACATTTCCCAATCATAAATCACTTTCTCCTGAATGACAAACACCATGCCATTATAGTCGTAGACAGCTCCTGCGTTGTCCAAAAATATAGAAATCAAGAAATTATTTGAAAGTTTCTTCATGAGTCTACTTCTAGTGCTCACTTATTTGCCTTCCAAAACTAAATGACGCTTGTTCTTTCTGGTTGCTCTGCAAGACAACGTTGTATTGTAGATGTGTTCTCCTCCCCATCGCTCCTGTATTATTAATCGTATATGCATATCGCTTATTGCATTTTCCATTTCCTAAGGTACTTTTATTCTCTTAACCTCTTAACCTTAATCAAAATTGGGAATGAATGGACTTTCCAGGTCCGAGATGTCCGATGTCCAACCTAGTGACTTTCTTTCTATTTTTAAAATTACGAGACTGGGGATTGCCGCAACCATCAATTTCCTGGAAGGAAACTCCGTTCAACAACCCGTATTCCGCAGGTTTCGTGGGTCCACGATGCGAGGGCGACATCAACGAGTGCCTGTCGAACCCGTGCTCGAACCCGGGCACCCTCGACTGCGTCCAACTCGTCAACGACTACCACTGCAACTGCAAGGCCGGCTACATGGGCCGCCATTGCGAGAAAAAGGTCAACTTTTGCGCCGCTTCGCCTTGCCAAAACGGGGGCGTCTGCACCACCATCCACAAAGGTCACAAGTGCACGTGCCAGGAGGGTTTCTACGGCAAAAATTGCGAGTTCAGCGGCTACGACTGCGACTCGGACCCTTGCCTTAACGGCGGCATCTGTAGGATATCCGACGACGAAGGCTACGTGTGCGACTGTCCCGTCGGCACCACCGGCGTCAACTGCGAAACCGACTCGCTGAACGAATGCGACGGTAACCCTTGCCAGCACCCGAACGCCATCTGTCAGGATAAACTCGGCGACTACGACTGCTACTGCCCGCCCCAATACACCGGCAAAAACTGCGAGATCTACGACAGGAACGCGGCGGGGGGTTTGGGCAAACCCGCCAAGTCGCAGGAGACGTTCAACGCGTTCTACGAGCGCGACCTCGAGCGCCAACGGCAACAGTGTATCCAGAACAAGTGCCCGTTGAAACGTGGCAACAGGCGCTGCGACGAAGAATGCAACACGTACGCGTGCGACTTCGACGGCAACGATTGCTCTTTAGGCATCAACCCTTGGGCGAACTGTACCGCCCCCATCAAGTGTTGGGAGCATTTCGGCGACGGCGTATGTAACGAGGAATGCAACACGCCGCAGTGCCTTTTCGACGGTCGCGATTGCGAAAAGAAATTGCAACCGTGCAACCCGATCTACGACGCGTACTGTCAGAAGCACTACGCGAACGGACACTGCGACTACGGATGCAACAACGCCGAGTGCAACTGGGACGGTCTGGATTGCGAGAAGGAACCGCCCGAACTGGCCGACGGCGTTATCTCGATGGTGGTGCTCATGGACATGCAAGCGTTCAAGAAGAATTTGGTAGCGTTTTTGCGCGACACGAGCCACCAACTGAGGACGACGGTACGCGTGAAAAAAGACCAATTAGACAACGACATGATATACCCGTGGGTGGGCAACACCCGTACCGGTCTGGAAGACGACTTCTTCAAACGCAAGCACCACGTCGCGTTCACGGAACAAGCGCAGTCGGGGGTTAAGGTGTACCTGGAGATCGACAACAGGAGATGCACCTCATTCTCGGAGAACCTCGAGTACTGTTTCCAGACGGCGAGCGCGGCGGCCGAGTTCCTAGCTGCCAAAGCGTCCAAACACACGCTGTCGCAGTCGTTCCCCATTTACCAAGTGAACGGATCGTCCGATTTCGACGACGACGTGCCCGCCTCGACCAACGGCAAGTACGTCGTCATGGGTATCCTGCTGGTCATCTGCTTGTCGGGCGTTATTTTCGTCGTCATCCAGACTCAGCGGAAACGGGCGTCGGGCATCACGTGGTTCCCGGAAGGGTTCCTTCGGACCAACTCGGGTACCCGGAGAAGGTAAGGACGAATTTTGTGCAAAACTGTCTCGAACGCGTCTTCGTCAGCTTCTCCGCCTCCTTCTAAGTCGCCTTCGAGATAGTTTTCGACGTAACCAAAACAAAAACGAGCCAGGATCTAACCGCCAGTTCCAGAAGACGCGGGCCCGAAGGTCAGGAGCTACGTAACCTCTCCAAGAACGCTTCGATTCCCGGAATGGAACTGGACTCGCAGCACGGCGGGCACGTGTCTCAATATTCTGACGACGACAGCTATCCCAGCTACCCGCTGCCTCCGAAACGCGGCAGAGTAGGGGTGGAGCCGGGCTACGCGAGCGATCACACCGCCATCACCGACTACGAGGAGGCGGAGCCTCGTTGGACCCAAACTCACTTGGAAGCGGCCGACATCAGGCCGGCCGCCATGCTGACCCCGCCCCAGGGCGAAAACAATCACGACATCAACGCCCGTGGACCGTGCGGTTTGACGCCCATCATGGTGGCGGCTGTCAGGGGCGGGGGGATGGATACGGGGGAGGACGACGAGGACGACGCCGCCGGAGCCGTCATCCAAGACTTTTTGGCGCACGGCGCCGACCTGACCGCGACGGTGGACAAAACGGGAGAGACGCCACTGCATTTGGCCGCCCGATACGCCCGAGCGGATCTGGCCAAACGACTTCTGGACCACGGGGCCGATGCCAACGCCCAAGATAATACGGGACGCACGCCGCTGCACGCGGCAGTTGCTGCGGACGCGCTGGGTGAGTAGATAGTTTAGGCGAGGTCTGAGAAATGTTCCTGGAAAGTCGCTTAGTGCGAATGCGCATTGCGCACGATTTTTGATACTGTATGAAATTATACAATTGAAGAGTAATTTTTCCCAAATAAAACTAACAGTTTTTTGTATAATATAATACAGTACAAAGATATACAGAATTTAAAATGTATGGCAGTGGGCAAAAAAGATGAAGGTACCAGTGGTTTTTCGCAAGAAATATGACAGTTTATTGGTGTAATTATTGATTATTCTATTTTTAAAGTTTTGTGGTGTATTTCTTGATGTTGAATAATGGCCTAGCAATAAAGAACAAGGAAAAGAAAATCCTATGAACGAATCCAGGATGTAACTAAAAAGTTACCCTTAAGTAGTCATCAAACTGGACAAGCCTGGAAATGTTCAAAACTTAAATGTTTTCAAAATCTCACTGCAGCCGATTATAAGCACTATCGTGTCTAAGTTGAATCAACTACGAAGTTATGATCTGAGTGGTTTAATAAGGTGTAAACCTGTACCACGCCATCGTTCCAGGAAATCTAAAGATGAAGCTGAGTGTCATTCATTTTCGTATACTTATGAGGTGAGATTGTTAAAAAACAACGAACTTTGTGAAATTAACCTTACATGGCATAACTGCAAAAAGGCGTATTGAAATCATAGGGTTCCGCGCCATTAGATATGCAAGAGAAACACTCTTCCAGACCTAACCGATTTTCTGGAAAACTAACAGATTCGGCCATGGAAAACATTAGATGTTTTAAGAGTAGATAGTCTCACTATGGCTAAAACAACAAAGGTCAATATTAAGAAAATGTACTCTATATACAAAGAAAAATATCCAGATAAATTAGTTTCTTATGAAAAATATAGAGAAATATAGATATTGTACATGCGATGAATTGAAAGTAAAAATTGACGTAAAAAAAATAATCAAAGTGCAAATGATCACAATGCATTGCAGTTACATACACAACTGCGAAGCTTGCAAGTTGAAGAAGAAGTACATTTAAAAAAAGCAGACAAGTTTTATAAACGTAAAAAAGCTGCTAGGCTTGATGCTCAAAAAGACAAAACCAAGAAAGCTATTTTAATGGATTTTCAAAAAATCTTAATCTGCCGTATATTACAACTAATGACACGTATTATCGTAGACAACTTTCGTTCTACATTTTCAACCTCTGAAGCTCTTTTCTATACTTATACTGAAGTTTTAGGAAAAAAGGGTGCTGATGATGTTCCTTCATTGCTATGGGATTACATTTTTAACCATCTGGATTTTGATGTCAAGAAGCTTACAAAATTTCACGTTACATTATATTGTTCATTTTGTTACAAGACTTGACACAATCAAAATGGTTTTTCCTGTTTATTTAGTGAAGCAGAACTGCCTCAAGAATGGAATGCAATTTTAAGGGATTGCCGAACAAAACCAAGCCCTGTTAAAGTTATTTTTTCCTTCAAGGCCAATCAAAGAATTAACTGTAACCGAAAATCACCCTCGTCATAAACAAAAAAAGAAAAAGACTTTCGCTACCTGAAAAGTGTTTTCAATTTCAAGGCCTAACAACATCTAAAAAGATTCAGGATTTTTTTACAGCAGTACCACATTGATAAGATTACAATAATAGATTATGGACCTGCATTGGAATCACAGTTTCTTTTTTATACTTTTGGATTGACAATTTATATATTTTTTGTATATTCTGTAAAAAAGTATTTTAGTTCAAGTTAGCAACAATTATATTCCAAAATCCTATTTTCCTTTACCATGTTCTAGAGTAGTCTTCCTAAATAAAAATCGCAATTACTGAGAATTAAGTTTTTTGGAACATCATCTTTTTCCCCTGTACTCTTGAATTGTTTCTGACATTAAATCATATGATGCGAAATATTTTCTTAGCTAAGAAACTAATCCCACTTTTCCTGTTCCGCAGGCGTGTTCCAAATCCTGTTGAGAAACAGGGCGACCAACCTGAATTCCCGAATGAACGAGGGCACCACTCCGCTCATTCTGGCCGCCAGACTCGCGATCGAAGGGATGGTCCAAGATTTGATCAGTGCCGAGGCCGACATCAACGCGGCCGACAACTCCGGCAAGACGGCCCTCCACTGGGCCGCAGCGGTCAACAACGTAGAGGCCGTCAACATATTGCTCGCACACGGTGCTAACAGGGACGCCCAAGACGACAAAGACGAGACGCCACTGTTTTTGGCAGCTCGCGAGGGTTCCTATCAGACGTGCAAAGCCCTTCTCGAGGCCTACGCGAACCGAGAAATCACCGATCACATGGACAGGCTGCCCAGGGACATAGCCAGCGAGCGTCTCCATCACGACATCGTGCGATTGCTCGACGAGCACGTACCCAGGAGTCCTCAAATGGTCAGCGTCGTGTCCAATAATCAAATCATGAGTAAGTAAAGCCCTAAGGTCAACCAATCGGTACCCGATTGACGTTCTCTCATTTAGCGACTAGCGGGCACATGCTCCAGCAACCTACCGTCATCGTTCCCAAAAGGCAGAAATCGAAACGACCTGCCAAAGCGGCAGGACCCACCAGTCCCCAAGACGGTATCGACAATCCCCTGGGACAGAACGGCAACGGCAGCGTGCGACGCAAGGCGAGCATCAAAAGGTCGAACAACAACAACAAAAAGGCTCAGGGGGGCGTGGCCCAGATCGGCGAGATGCCGCCTCAGAGCGCCGACTCGGTGGGCTCGACTTTGAGTCCCGTCGAATCGCCGATGACGAATCTGCCGAGTCCTTACGACGCCACGTCCTTGTACTCGAATATGGGCTTAACCGCCCAGGGTCTGGAGTCCCTTATGGGTAAGGCACGGGTCTCGACATTTACGGAGCGGTTCGTTGGAAGTGTGATTCGTGTTGCAGCCAGCAAGCAGCCGCCTAGCTACGAGGACGTCGTGAAGAGCACGCTCCAGTTCACGTTGGACAACAACTACAGCGCGTTCAACATATTTCAGGCGCAAGACGCGCTAATGATGCAACAGAGACAGATGCAAGCGAACACCCTCAGCCCGCCCTATTCGAATCAGTCCCCGCCCCATTCGGTGCAGAGCAATATGTCGTTGTCTCCTCAAGGGTAAGTCTTAGTAGTATGGCTAACGCGGTTTCAGATCCATCCATAAGTAGTATAGCATAGAGGGTTCAGGGTCAACCATATAGGTGTTAACGGTAAATGTACGCTTTTACCGTAAAACGTCTACATTTCACGTTTTGGTAAATGTGTAATCTTCCTTCATGTTTTAAGAAAAGCTGGAATACAAATAAATTTAAAATATTGTTGCAGTAAAAAAAATATTTAAATATAGTACAAAAAGTTTACTTACATTTATTACTTTTATTATTATTAGTTATTTTAATTAAAAAATTTAATGACAAACAAAACATACTTTTTTTTGCATAGTATGTAATACGTCGTAGGTTGCGATCCCAATCAATATTGATGAATACAATTTTCGTCCTAGTTCTTCAAGACCAATACGATGGGAATCAAAGTTAAGTTCAATTCTAAAAAACCTTGGTTAACTGGACATTTGTTCAATCAAATAAAACGTAATTCAAGGCCTCTGGCTCTGCTTCCGATTTTGCTTTGCACAGAAGAGTCTCTAATAGTTTATCCTTGGAGATTAGAGAGGCGAAGTCGGCCCAAAGCGTTTTATTCCCATGTCAGACAACACGTATCGTCTGTTATTAGAGATACCTCGGGAGAGGTCTCCTATAACCAGGACTTCATTTCAAATGAATTTGCCTCTTATTTTGCTGATGAACCTGCTGACCTAGCGCCTATGACCTATAAGTCTAGATTTATTAGAAGACATTCACTTTGACCAAGATGACGTGAAAAAACTCTTTCTGAGTTAAAAGAATATTCTGCTTCCGGACCTGATGGAATTTCCAGTAAAATCCTAAAAGAGATTAACACCGATTAAACAACGATTTGTAAAAAGGGTGAGAAGTTCGATGTTTTTAAACGCCTTGTAGTAAATCAGCTGTTACCGTTTTTGATCGACTTCCATGTTATACCTACATCGCAGCATGGCTTTGTTCCCGGCAGATCAGTCATATGAAATCACTGGACATTATCTCTTGACTAGGTGATCCGGTGGATTTATTTACCTCGACTTCAGCAACGCTTTCAACAAAGTGCCACATCGACACTTGTTATTAAAACTTAACGGTAACGCTTTTTCACTGTCACAAAACGTGCCTAGTGGTGTTCCCCAGGGATCGATGCTGGGACCAGTGCTATTCTTAGCGTATACCGTGGATTTGCGCTCCCACTAAATTATTTGAAAATCCTTCAACGCATGCGGACGTATTGCAGAGAGACTTGAGTGGTGTTCAACTTGGCTATTACCGCTGACGCTAAAAAGTGTTCTGTGCTGCAAAAATTTCCCTTGTTTTCTTTCTAGCATTATCAATTAAAATTTTCTTCTCGTTTAAAACAGTTCCATCTTTATCTACAATTTGCCTATTCTATGTGGTTCTATTAATTGCTCTATCTCTTCTTGTGTTCCCAGCTATTCAAAAGATTCCATAGGCAAATTTTATGTTTTCAAACCCAATTTCATTCTTGTACCGAATAGGGAGTTTGCTTTTTACTCTCATGAAAAGTTTTATTTTTCATCAGTTCTAACCACCTGGTTGTTTGGTTGTCAGCATATTTTGAATATCTGGATTCGAGTGAAAATGTCCATAAGTTGTTTTGCTACTTCTGACGCAGTTTTTGTTTTTAGTACCATACAACAAATTTATCATTTCTTTCATTTATTATCTGGTGGTGTCTGTACATCTATAAAATCCCCTTGACACCTTATCAGAATTGCTTTTGCCTTTTCTTAATACGCTTCACATAAAAATGCCTCTACAACATAACTTGCAAAATGTGAAAAAAAAACACATAGTCTCAATTTCTGCCTAAACTATGCAAAATTCTAAATGGAATTTCAAAAAGTGACCTTTATTTTAACCAAGGTAGTTAGGTACATACAACTTAGGAACCTATGAAGCACATTGTATGTCGAATACAGAAAGAATACTCCTATTTAGAAAGCGATATTACAGTCAAAATGGCAACTTTAGGTCGAACCAATCTATACCCGACGTTTTTCCGCTTCCAGCTACAACGGGTCACCGTCGCCGGCAAAGACGAGACCCTCGTTACCGACGAGCCCCACCCACATCGCGGCGATGCGCGCCGCCACCCAGCAAAAGCACGGGGGCGTTCCCCAAACTCAAAACCTCCAAATGGGGTTCGACTTCAGCCAGACCGGGCTCGAGATGCCTCTCCCTTACACGGCGGCGGGCATGGGCGCGGCCGTGCAAGCGATGCAACAGACCCAGCAACAGCAGCAACAACAGCAGCAACACCAGCAGGCGCAACAATTCCAGCAGCAAAACTTTTACATGACGCCGCCCTCTCAACACTCGGATCACCTCTTGCCCGACAACTTTCCGACACCGAGTCCCGAGAGTCCCGGGCATTGGTCCTCGAGCTCGCCACGTTCCTGCAATTCCGATTGGTCGGAAAACGTGGCAAGTCCCAATACGGCGACGTACGTTGCAGCGTCTAGCGTCGGCGGACACCAGACTAACAAGGGCTCGGACGCCATCTACATTTGAACGTTGTGAACGTGGTGATGGTGGTGGTGCGAAGTTTGTTATCTGAGAGTGTTTTTTTCGAGGACTCGCGGCTTTCATACAACTGATTGGTCTCAACGGATCTTTTTTTTTTGTATTTTTGTATTATACGAGTTGTGTTGTTGCGGCTCAAAGATGGCGCGAAAGGAAATTATTTATTCACACTTAAATCGCCCCGGTCCATGAAGTACTACTATTTAGCGGAAAAATATCGCGATATTTATTACGATTAGAAATCCAATATTTTTTATGATATTTTTAAACAGGGGGGGCGCTGGGGACGTCGCTTCGTATCGTTAAAGCGATTTTTATTTTTTTTTATAATTTAAATTAACAACAATTCATCTTTCGCACGCCACTGGATAAAAAATCGTCAAAAATCGTTCATTTCGTAAGGGTTAAGGAAAATCGAGACGATACGAAGCGAGGATAGCACGCCCCGTATAGCACCTTTTATCCATATTATTGTGCCTTGAACACTGTTGGTTAATTATTGTGTAAATAGTTAGATTTATATTTTAACGTTAGGGAAACTTTATTAAGCGACAGATTTATATTGAATACTTTATCTCGGGATCTGCAGTTTCACGGAAAACGTCGTCTAGAGGGGCCAAAAAGTATTCCTGTATAGTTTTCCGACTCGCGACTTTCCGGTGAACAGCTGCAGGGAGGGTCGCTTTCGAAAAAAACAGAAAATGTGTTTTTCTTTTATTTTCGTCGGACTCGAGTATACCGCACGTCCTGGATAAGAACTCGGATTGTTTTTTCCTGAGAAACTCTATAATAAAGTGCACTTTAATGTTGCGAATTACTTCTCATATCATATGGCATATTTTTTGTGATCTGGCGTCACATCTCTGAGGCAAAATTATTTTAGTCAATTACAAAATTTTCGCGATGGTTTAGGTTTTTTGCTAACCATCATGTACATCATCTTAGCTTCTTGGTGGTCCCTATTTTACTTGAGATATCTTCGTTGCCTTTTCCGTCTTTGGCTTTATAGTTTCTCCACCTCCAATAAATCACTATGATCGTTGTCACTGGTATTGTATTTATAACCAGGCTATAATTGCTTTTGTAAAGCTCTCTCTGCTAACAAAACTTAATCGTTAGCATAGCATCTGGTGTGCACTAATTCTTACGCACCTTTTTTTTGCACCATAATTAATTAATAATTAGCAATTCTGATTGGTGTCCTAGTATAACGAAATTTCTTGCCAATATGCAAATTTTTCACAAAAAGTGAGGTATCTGAAATAGTTTTAACCCATATTTTAAAGAAAAGTGTTGTGGAATTTTTTCTTTCAGAGGTGTGGTAAAGCCTTATCCCGGAAGCATTGTATATATCGTCTCCCGACGAAGATTTTCTTTTTAATTTTTCGAAGGCGAACTTTTCTAGCAACGTCTGTGATGCCGTTATTTAGACGGCTATATTTTAAAGTGTTTTTTTTTTTTATTAGAAAAAATATATAACTTGTAGTGATATTTCATTGACATTTCACGAGAATCTTCCAGTAAATAAACCTAAAAACGCACATTCCGAAACGATGTCTTTCAAAGCACCGAACGGGGTGTTGGAATTCGTTGCTCTCTATCTCTCAAGGAACCCCCGTCGATAGACGCTACCCAGGGAAAGCCGATTAACGGCTTTCATTCTGTAGATATCGTGGACGCCCTGTTCGGCTTTTTTTTATATTTTATTTATGTTGTGTAAGTTACGCGCCCGATTTTCGTGTCTCTCTTTTATTTTTGTAAAAAGTACTGATTAGGAAATACTATGAGTTTTCTTTTAGTTAGTTATCGTTGAGCGGCGCTGACCGAGCTTCCAAAAAGCCTTCGGCTCACGCTCGGTGTTCTATTTTTTAGTTTAAATGGCCGATGCTTTGTATTATATTTTTAATTTTAATAAAAGTTTTATAGAATAAACGACCTTGAATGTTTGATTTCCGATCCACTTGCTTTATTTAATTTTTATGTAAACCAATTAAGTAACTCATCAAACTACTTGGAACGGACCAATGATGTAAGAGAGCAACACAATCTAGCGTGAGGTAAGGAAGCGTCACTTTATCATGTCAATTTCGTTTCCCAGGAATCCGAGTCACTTCGGACATTTCCGGGAGCGATCGGATGTTTTCGGAGATATTTCCCACGCTTTGAATTTTGACGTTTGTCAATTCTGACGGTCATGTCGGTGAATGTATTCGTGTTGTTTTGCGAAAATGTACCCAACAACTAACGGTCGTAGAAAAAGTATAGTATGCAACACGTTCGGTAAACTTTTTAACTCACTAGTTTATTAAAAACTTGCTCCGCTCGTGTCAAATAAACTCGTGAGTCAAATGCCGCTTACCGCACTTCTTGCATAATATACTAATTTTCTACTTCCGTCTGTGATCTAGCGTGCGGGAAACGTCACTTTACCACGTCAGTTTCGTTTCTCGGATCCGAGCCACTTCGGACATTTCCGGGATTTTACCGCACGGGTTTGGGAGCAATCGGATGTTTTCCGAGATATTTCCCCAAATTCAATTACAATTTCAATGACATGATACAAGAACAACGTAAGGAAAATGTCTCACTTTTCAATAATACTACACTGGGGGAGCCTCGGGTCTCACGCGGTCAAGGAAACAAACGTATCGAATTGAGCGACGTTTAATGTATGAAAGACAAATAATTTAAAACTACAAACAAATTAAGTATGCGTTTAGTGGATAAAACCGCGTATGAGAACAAAAATTCAGTCTTGAGCGTTAAGGTTACCAAAAAAAAAACGACGCTGAAGCCTAGAAAAAAATCATCCCCGTTCCGACAAGCACCAAACATTCCTACACATATGACTACCCAAACTGATGAAATACTGCCGATCAGTCTCGAACTCGGATGTTCCAAATGCTCGACTTGCGCATGCCGACCGTAGGCCTGGCGACCGAGCTGAACCTGAACTTATTAATCTGCACCCTATGGCCCAAGTCGTACTGCACTGTTTTCAGTTCGTCCGCGTCGATATAGCCTCCATGTATGTCCAGGTAGGACAAGTTCTTCAATTTTTTTAAGCGGACTAACATTTTGTAGGAGATTGTGTAGCACCTGGACAGCGCTAAGAAATTTAATTCGTCCAGCGAGGAAATTTCGGTAATAGAGTCCCCGGTAATGGAGGTACAGTCGGACAGATCCAATTCGCGGAGTCTGGGGCACCTCGCGACCAGACTTTGAACGTGTTTGTCCAGAAGCAGTTTTCGGCAACCGGACATGTTGAGCCTGTCGACGGTCGATGGTAAACTTTCGCAAATATACTGTATGCTGTCTTGGTTCAAGTAGGTCCAGCCCAAGTTCAATTCGCGTATTTTTTTGCAATTGCCTAGCAGATGTTTCAGTCCTGTTTGTTGAATGCCAGTGCACATCGCAAAATTTATAACCTCGATATCCCTGTTGGACGACAACGCGAGGAGGACCTCATCGTTGACGGGCACATTCTCCAAACTCAATTTCCTCAGCCTTTTGCACTTGCTGAATAATGTCGTTAATCCCTCTAGGGATATGTGAACCATGCTCAAGTCCAAATAAAGGAGGCGCACCTGAAAGTCAGGCGAATAGGCTTTGCAGTTGGGCATTATCACATTGTCCATAATTTTCGACTTTGCCATTCTCAATACAACCACTTGCCTGCTGAGGATTTTACCCAGATCTCCGGGTCGAAAGTGTTTGTTACCCAAATCCATACGAGTCCACAGGCTCTCGTCCTGAGTGAGTCGGTAAAACCTCCTACACACCAACGCTATATCCGACAGGTAACTCTTCGGTAACCATTTTAGAATGTGCAATATGACTTCGTCGGATAGAATGTCAAAGTAGCTCGTTCTATTCGAGGGCCGGATCGGTTTGGTTATAACTTCAGACTTGTCTTCGACCACAATTTTCTCTAGGGTATCTCGACTGAGCACCGACTCTAGCACAGTGAGCTGTTTCTCTTTGGTGTTGGGAGTTAGCGATGCACATGACACGTCTATGCTCACAGATTCGGTCCTGCTAAATATGGTGTCCTCGTCTGTGGTCACTTCATCTAAATCGCAGTCTAAACGACCTATCCCGGGACCGTATTCCCCTAAACATAATTTTTCGTTGGACCAGAGACTCTTGGGACTAACGTCCGGCTCGTCATCGAACCTGGCGCGTTTCGCTGGGGGTGAGTAGTCTATGTTTACGTCGATGGGTTTCAAAACGTTTTGGCAGGACATGGTCGAAAACGTTCCAGCCAATAATTTTGGTATTTACATGCACCTACAACCAAAACAAACACTTACATAAAGTCAGGGTTACCTTCATCCTTATTCATTGTTCAGAAGAAAATAAAATCATTCAAGTATGTTAACCCACTGCGAGCGTTCAACAAATTAAATTTTTGCTTTAAAAAATCATATCGCCCCCCGTGCTTTAAAAAGGTGGCACGAGTTTGAAATTTGAGCAAGCTAACAAGCAAATTTAACAACAATTTTCCATACAGCACTTACATGATTATTGATTTTCGAAGTACCGAATAGTTTCGCACGTGTTTTCACACAACTTTCCACTGTAAACGCATATAAGGAAAATCTGAATACTTGGCACTTGCATCTGGCGGCAAATTACAGATGATTTTCCAAAGTTTAGACTTTGATAGTTGTGGAAAAGAAGAATCCAGATTCCCTAACCAGAGAATAATATCGATGTCGAATAGTTGACAACCAGCAAAGCACGGCCGATGCCTAATATTTTGCATAGCAAATCTTTCCTATGTGGTTTCTGTCGGCAATCTGTTATGAACATAGTAGTGAATGTGCGTTTTGCGTGGTATTTTCGCGTTTGGAAGCGTTAGTAAACAATTTATGAAAAATTCTTCAGCAAAAATATGTGAAAACGATATTCGAAATGGCTCTAACGCATACACAAGGAGTAAAAATACTATACAAGTTAATACTAAGGTTGAACAGGGGTTTGCCAGAAGAACTGCAGTTGATAGGATCGACTTACGTAAGAGATGAATTCAGAAGGCACAAGGACTGTAAACCGCACGAAGCCGACATTTTTATGACCGAGTGGACGGTATGATATTGAATTGATTCAATTGCTGAGCAACATGGCCAGGTGTTCTCGTTCTAGAATTACGCCGTTAATTTGGCGAAACAATTGGGAATTAAAGGAGTCGAAAGTGCTCATAAATTGGGAGCAGATTTGCCGCCAAATCTTTTGAATAATTTAAGGGATGAACAGATTGTGCAACTATACAAACTCATGGAAGCCGCTGGTGGCGAATTAGATGAAGAGAGAACTTAAAATTATGAGAGACTGTAAATGTTTAAAATAATAACGAATGTGGAGGATTTTTCATTTATTTATCTTTTTATCTAGATTTTGTTGAGATAGCCAATAGAAAATGTGAGTTGGTCGTTTATAAACAAAATTGCAATGCGCATTTGCGAAAACTTCTTTTTTTTTTAATTTTGAATGCATTACCCAAAAAATATAAAATGAATGACACAATCTTTTCTTCAAATAATCGAATAATAAGTAATAAGAGCGTGATTTACACGTTGACCATATACTCTTGTTCTGTGGGTTGAGACTACAGATTGGTTATTGATGTTCTTCGCTGGGTTCCCGCCAATTTTGCGAGGTTATAAAAGCGTGGATTACGATTTCGCGCCACTATTAATGAATAGTGCTTTGATGAAGTGTTTTGTCGTGTTACTGCTAAGTGTTTGTTGAAATCAAAATGCCTGCGTACGACAAAGAGAACGCAAGTTTGAACGAGCTCTACTCCAAGACCGAAAAAATTGTGTTGTCTCCCAGCAAGGCAAATATCCAAAATAGCGGCACTGATACCCCTAAACGGAAATCAATTCAAGAGGGCGGCGATACCCAATTTGATCCTGAATTAGAACCACTGCTAAAGGAAAATCCTCGCCGCTTTGTTATTTTTCCAATCCAATTCCCGGACATCTGGGCCAAGTACAAGGAAGCGGAGGCGTCATTCTGGACGACTGAGGAAGTGGACCTAACGCAAGACTTAAACCATTGGAATGGTTTATCAGACAACGAGAGACACTTTATATCACACATACTGGCGTTTTTTGCCGCCTCAGATGGTATTGTCAATGAAAACTTAGTGGAGCGGTTCAGTCAAGAGGTCCAAGCGACCGAGGCGCGCTGTTTCTATGGCTTTCAGATTGCCATTGAGAACATACACTCTGAAATGTATAGTATGTTGATTGAGACATACATCAGGGATCCAAAGGAAAAAGATTTTCTGTTTAATGCAGTTGAGACTCTGCCCTGTGTGCGCAAAAAGGCTGACTGGGCTTTGAAGTGGATTAGCAGCAAAACTTCTACGTTTGGCGAGAGGTTAATAGCGTTTGCCGCGGTCGAAGGTATCTTTTTCTCAGGCAGCTTCGCTTCAATTTTTTGGCTGAAGAAAAGGGGTCTCATGCCTGGATTAACTTTTTCCAATGAGTTGATATCTCGAGATGAAGGCCTCCATTGTGATTTTGCTTGCTTGCTTTTCTCCCATCTTGTCCAGAGACCTTCGAAGCAGAGGATCACCGACATCATTAAAGATGCTGTAGCGATCGAGCAGGAATTTTTATCTGACGCCTTGCCAGTAAGTCTGATTGGTATGAATTGTGAATCAATGTGCCAGTACATCGAGTTTGTCGCTGATCGGCTCTTGATGGAATTGGGATGCGAGAAGTGCTACAATTCCACGAATCCATTTGATTTTATGAATATCATTTCAACTGGCGGCAAAACCAATTTTTTTGAGAAAAAAGTAGGCGAATATCAAAAAGTGGGCGTGGTCGACTCTGATAACGTTTTTACCACCGACGCTGATTTCTAAAATGCCCATAAATTATTTAGTTGGTTAGTTTTTATATTATTTGTAAACTATTGTAACCTAATTTTGTAACAGATAAATTTGATAACATTTAGTCCGTGCCTTTGTAAATATATAATATTCTATAAATAGTCGTTTAATTTTTGCGTTGGGTGGAGAGATATGGTACGCATGTTAAAAGCGTTTATAGCAGGGGGCGCTGACGGCGCAGTTTTTTTTTTTATGACATCACAGTTTAGAGCGTTCGCCTGACAAGGATTAGTTTTGAACATAACCTGTTATAAATATGGCTTTGTTTTGAATATATTTTTGGGTAAGCGAGATTTTTTGTAAAAATATGGCATTATTTCCTGCGTACGCTGAAGAAGCGAAATTGATAGATGAGAATGATTCGTCCAAAGAGAAACAGGAATGGTTGGAAAACTCCAGCTACACGGTTCATAAAAATGCGGAAGTTCTAGAAATTGTCGATTCCGATAAAGAATCGGTAAAACCTGCAAGGAAACGTAAAAAGAAAGAAAAGAAACAAGTAAAGGACAAATCGGCAGTCGAAGAAAGCAAAGACCAAGAATATGAGGGTTTTGAAATTGATGTCAAGAGAATAAATGAGTACTTATCCGTTAATACAATTTCGAGGCCTGCTGTGTCGCGATATCGTGTATCGTATTACCTCAGCACGCGAATAAAGTCGAAAAAACGAAGATTTAAGCGTTATTATAAGCTGATCTTTGATGAAGAAAAGGGAGACAAAGAAGAAACTCCCATAACTAAAAGTAATGTAGACACTGCAGGGTTCGCGGAAAAGGATGCTAACTTTAGGGGGTTTAAGGAGGAGGGAGAGTTATCCAAACAGACAGAGACTTTCAATAAACAGTTAGCAGAACGCTCTGAAGATGTGAAACTGTGGCTTAAATATGTGGACTTTCAAGATGTCGTGTACCAGTTTGAGAAAAGCTACAGAAAAGGAAGTATAGTGAAAGCGCAACGGGTGTTGGCCGAAAGAAAAATTGCCATTTTAGAAAAAGCTTTGACTCACAATCCAAACTGCGAGGTGTTACTTCGGGAGAGGTTGAAAGTCGCGGTCAGTGCATTCCCCGCTGACGAATTGCAACTGCAGTTAAAAAAATTGGTAGAAAAAGACCTAGGTGAGTGGTTGGTACTTTTAGTTTTTTTTTTGCGCATAGCAGTGGCAATAACTGAGGGTTGAGATTTCTTTTTTGTCAAACCAAGCCATGGGCGATATGCGCGAAACATATCGTCCTCGGTATGGGCCGAAATATTCATTATATTATATGAAGCTGTTGTACCGCTTCTTCATTTAGGAAATTTAGAAAATCAAAAAATTCTTCAAATGGAAAATCCATGTAAGATATATAAGTAACATTCAAGTAAAATCAATAACAATCTTAATGTGCGCGGTGATTGTGAAGTTTTCAATCGTCAGTACCAAAACTTTTGCAGGCAATATCATACTATGGCAAGGTTACATAGAGTCGACGCAGTGCTCAATGTCCCATTGTAACACTCCGTCCGTGGTCGCTCTGTACTCAAAATGTCTGTCGACTATACACCAACTGAGAAGAAACGCCACAGTCGACAAAGAAGTTTTGGAGGAGAGCATCTTGAGGATGCTTTACCAGTGCGGACTGTTTCTCAAACAGGCCGGTCTGCTCGAGCAGCTTTGGACGTTACTGAAGATGTATCTGGAATTGAATTTGTCGCCCACCGATAAAAACAAATTTAACATTGAGATTAAGTTCGAGGAGAAGCAGCTGCTGGAACTTGAAGAGATTGTGTTGAATTCTCAACTGCCGCATCATGAACTGTGGCTAAGAACTGAGAAACTGAGGGAGTCGTGTCATTGGCTGCCCGTTTCAGGCGACGAGCAGTGCGAAGATCCTCAACGGTTAGTGTTTACCGAGGACGTCGTCGAGCTCATACAGCCCATCACGATGCCAGAGAATGTGTTTAAGTTTGTGGCCACGATTTTGGCGTTACTTAAGGTTGATCGCGGTTTCCCACTGACAATCAGTTGCATAGTGATATTTTAGGTTCCGCTGTTGCCGTGTCGCCACTGCAGTATGCAAGATTTGGGGCTGGACTACGTCCCGTGGAGTCTGGACTCGGTCGAGAGCCTTTTGCCGGTGTTCGTGCCGTTGTATCCCGTGGACACGGTCAGCCCTAATTTATTAAAGGACACTGCCAGGTGGGTGAGTCCTCTTTTTTTTAAAGAATCACTAGATGGTCATTTTTTGTTTGTAGATTAGCAGTGGGACCTCAATATCTGAAAACTATCCCGGGGCAGGATCAGTACTTGAATTTTGTGTTGACGGTGATGGAGAACTGCGCGGATTGCTTAAACGGGCGGGACCAAATCGCGGTTAGGGTGTGGTGGTTTCGATTTCAGCGGCTCCTCGTCATCCTGGACAAATTGGGCCGCTTCAAGATGCCCCCCTACTTAAAGAAAAAAATTAAGGCGGGCATCAAGAACCTGCTGAAAACAGAGGAGCATAGGAACAACGAAGTGTTCTACTTGGAATACGCGCTAATCGAGGGCGAATGGGACAATCCCGAGGGATGCAAGAAGATCCTGGAAACCGCGTTGGGCATGAACGCGTGCACCAAGTGGGTCTCCAAGTATTGGAGCGAATCCCAAGCGTGCCGGTGTTACCTATACAAAACATTGGTAGAGGTGACGCTTAAAAGTAGGCGTGACGATGGCGTCGCCAGGAATGAGGGTCTGAGGCGTCTAGTTACTATGGTTTTGCAGCGTAACGTCGTAGCGGTGAATAAGGGGTTACTGATGGAAGCCGAAACGAAATTTAAATCGCTCTCTGTGGAGTTAATGGACAATTTCAGCGGAAGGAGGTCGCTGGTAGAACACTTCCTTCCCGATTTTTTTACCGACTGGGTTATTTGCAACGGGTGGTTTTTGTTTCTCTCAAAAGGCCCGCTAGAGTGCGGCACTTTCCTGGAGAAAACCCTAGAGTATTTAGAGAAGTATTCGGACGAATCCCGCTGGCACCGCGAGGTTTTATACGAATTTTACACCGCCATTTTATTCAAACACTGTCTAAACAACCCGGGCAGTGGAATGTTTAAAATTCTCGACGACGTGCTGCTCAGAGCGATCGAAACATTCCCGAACAATTTGTACCTGCTAGCGATATTGGCCAAAGAGCAAAGTATGGTGAAGAGTACTGGCCCAGATTGGTGGAAGATACAGAATGTATTGCTTCAGTCGGGCAGGGCTTTTGCGACCATCTCGGCCGTACTTATACTTGAACTGATCAAACTGGAGCTGGAAAAAGATATGACCGATACCATAACGGGATCCGGGTTTGAGCTGACCGTCAGTTATAAGAATCGCATGGCAAATTTGTTTAAAAAGATTACGAGGGGCGACATGTGCACCAGGAGATGCGGATTGGCCTGGAGGCTGTACTTGCAGTTCGTGCACAGCCTGTTTAGCCCCACTACATGCCGCAACGTATACTATTCAGCCGTAGAGGAATGTCCATGGCTGAAAGCTCTCTACATAGACGCTGCTATATATATACCGGCCGAATTAGCCCAAATACAGGACCTGATTATCGAGAAGCAGCTGAGGCTGCATGTCGCTCCCGAGGAACTGGACATACTTAGGTCTTAGGTGTGCATTTTAAAGTCTGTTGGAACAAAAATATATTTATGTAAAAAGTTAAGTTAAATACAAGTCGTTACAAATAGGTGCCGCAGGCGTTGGGGCAAGGCACTAGATAGTGCCCCGTTTTTTCTTGCATTTGTCCTGAAACCAAAAATCGAATTACCTCGCCGCCATTGGCCTCATCTCGAGGAGAACAGAAACGCCATATGGCTCCCACCCCTAACCCTTGACCACACAGAACTATAATAAAGAGTTACATTGACAGAGCTGTGTTTCAAGATTTCTAAATCTTTCATAGTAGTTCAGATTTATGATCTAGGTGGAAGCAAATAGATTGGTTTTTTGGGGTGTAAAACAAAATATTTGGGAAATCACACAACAGAAAACAAATGATGTTAGAAATTTTACAGTGAAATATTTATACTTCTTTTTTAACACATATTTGGTATCATATAGGTTGTCTGAAAAAACAAACACCAACGCTTTGCTTTTTTGAAACACATTTTGGCATAGTATAAAAGGTACACTACTATGGTAAAAGTACCAATGTTTATATGAACTTTTTTTCTTCACAAATCTCCAGTCAAGGGCTGGCGCATGTTTTTTGAAACACCATGTAGAATTTATTGAAAATGGTGATTTATTTTTACTCCCGTATAACAAACTCTTGCCAGCATCACCTCCTCTTTAATTCCTTCTTATAGCTCGCAGTACTCTCTACTCACTGTCAACATTCAATAACTGCAGATTCTTGTACTCGTCAGACCCGTCACAACAATCACATATACCATCGTTAACCTTGGCAGAAGGTACGAGCTTTGGGAATTTTCTGTGTTCGGTCGTAGTCGAGCAATAGAACACTCCATTTGGGCACGCATTGGTACCGGGTTCGTCGGTACCATCCAAGCAGTCGCAATAGTCGTCGTTCACTTTGTTAAACTCCAGTATTTCCATGCTTTTGATGCAAACGAATTTGCCGTATCGCGGAACGTAAAAGTGCTCCTCTTGGGGATGCGTGCCCCTGATCCGAGACATCCCCGAAAATGGTTTGCCCGCGCCAGCGTCGCCCGATATGAACTGATAGAATATGCTCACTTGGTACACGATAAAAATGAACGATATAATCAGCGAAGGGATAACGAAAAACCCTATCCTGCGTCTAGGGTATCGGCATAAATACTTGGCCATATTTAGTTCAACCCATTTTTTAAATTATCGCAATTTCGGCACGCCTTCGAGGTTATGGACGGAAAAATTCTTCTTTCTCGCTTCCACTTGAACTAACCCACATAGGGGAGTTGTAAGGAACCATTGCACATGGCGGACGTTTATTCCAAAAAAGTTAGAAATCGGTTGAAAATTGTGTAATTTGAAAAAATGTTGTTCAGTACATCTTTCAATGGAATTGTTAGGGGCGTAGTAACTATAGTTTGGTGAATTAGTGCTTGTTTTGTGATATCTATGAATTTGTATGGTTTATTGATTGGTATCCGAATTTCTTGTATTCACTCTGGTAACCAGGCCAGATGAGATCGAGTATTCCGTATGAGAAACTGGACTAATTATTTAAAAGTATATTCCACTGTTTTAATATGAGGAAGGATGATGGAATAGTCCAGACTCTTTTTGCGAAGACATCCTTTGTAAGCTGGCCAAATAACCCGTAGAAGTAAAACCAAAACAAGCCGCCCGCTTTTGTCAGTTTCCTTCTACAGTACCTTACTGCACAGATATATAGAATAAAACATGAATTAAGTTGTAATCATTTTAGTTTCTTTCTCGAATCTTTTCCCTTATAGTCGTCCACCCTTTTGTCCCCATACACTAGGACATTCTTGAATTAACACACAATAACACAATATTGCCCGTGTATATTCAACGCTAAAGGAGTAAGGTGATTTTTAATATTTTGGACACTAAGTTTTTTTGTTTTGTTTTCACCTCATAAAAGTAATAATCTGTATGCTCTGTTTCTTAACGCTAGAGAGTTAGAACTCATTATTGAACCGTAAAACTTGGTTGGCTTATCTGCATTCCGTAACTATTGTATTGTCAAGTGTACTCAGAGTGGCAGGTGGCTGATTTACATGTGCCTTAGTTATTTACCGGCAGTTGTATTGTAAATAGTAGATAATTAATCTATTTTCAAATTATTATTTATTTCATCTTACAACAAACGATCTCATAATCATGTATAATTGTGATATTTATTGTTCTAATAAATTAGCTGGAGTAACGCCGCTGTCACATTCCTTTTAATCTAAAAACTCGTCCTTCTATTGTATGCATATTACTCTCTTGCATTAAGTAACATAGCAGCCGCTAAAAATAAAAAAACAGTTTTTTCAAAAAATATTGCAATGTGGTCTTTTTTAAATATATATTCTATATAATTCTTAAATAAAAACGCTTAGTTACTGTAAATATTTTATTATATAAAGTCTATCAATGTAATAACAATATTTATTTTTTTTTGTTTAAAGAAAACTTCTTAGCAAATATATGACCTACTCCTAGAAGAAACAAATTTACAAAATGGGGTGTCACATACAGAGGAAGCGATATTCTAAAGAGCAACTGTGCCACTCCGTAACTAATTATGTTACCGTCGATATTTTTTCCTGCCTTGTCCCCGAAAGGAAGGTAGTTTCGAGGACAAACCTAAAGGTAAATAAATTATGAAAATATTTTAAAATTGAACGTTTACATCGCATGTAACGCAATGGCGGAACTCAAAAACGATCAACGCGAGGTCCTCGATTGAAATCTGGATCCGATATGTATCGAGCGAGTTTTTTTAAAATCTCCGTTAGATGGCGCTCGCGCGGATAATTTCCAAGTACCGGCGGGTCCGAAACCGACCACGCCCACGGTGATTTTTTGTACTTTTGACGCTTCGAGAATTGACCCTTAAATAGTTTGTGTTTTTAGCCTAGAACTTATCAAACCGAGTTGCGAGATCCGTTTCCGACTGGCACCGCCCACTTCGCGCCTTTTTGGGCGCGAAGTGGGCGGATCCTACGTCCGCCCTTTTGAATTCCGCTTCCCCAATTCACAACTAAGTTGTACCAAAAAAAAAACAAACTTTGGTGTATAAAGTTATTTATAAAAAAGAAAGGATATTTTGTTCCCATTTTTTTTTTCGCAAAAAGTTTCAATGTAAACTAGGTGATTAGAAAAAAAAAACACGCGTATCTTCTCCCCGTTCCGACGACGCAAAAGGGCGACTCAACATAATTCACGCTAAAATGCTATGTACAAGAAGACTGTTTCTAAAAACGATGTAAAAAAATTAAAAAGAAAAAATGTAGATACAAAATTACGACTGGGGGGAAAATCAGATAAAAATCGTCCGGGAAAACGACATGGTAAAATCGTACATCTCTAAATTACGGGGTTCTCGAACTTTAACCCCTTCAGTATGAATATCTCGTCGTACGCGTCCGCCTGCTCAAGCTCCAGCACCTGGAACTTTTTCAACACTAACAAACTGTAGAACTTTTGCGCCGCCTGCAAAAAAAAAAACTGGTTAGTTTTGATCATTTTTTCAAGTATGCAGGGTGTTTCAAAATCCAATAGACACAGCATTAGCCAAACATAAGTCTGCTTTTTCAAATAAACATGTGTCTTGGCTTGCTTCGTGTTCCAGATACAGGGCGTCAAACTTTAATTACTTAAAAACCTTTTAGACGGTTTTGACAAAGCTTGGCGCGGTTATTCGTCATAAGTCGTTATTTTGTCTAATTAAAATAAATTTATTGCTTTCAGTGCCGTCAAATTGATATTCAGAGGTAAAATCCAAAAAATGCAATGGTCATTTTGCTTCATATACCTTGAATTCCTCAAAAATTTACTTAAACTAAAGATTAATTAGATGGTCGCAAATAAGCGCGCCTTTCATCGGATAATCTGTGAACATAATGGCTTTAACTTTAAATTTAAATGAGATCACCTTCTGCGACGCCACTGCAATGAATAATTTTATCTTAATTACACTAAATAAAGACGCGTATAACTAACAATTAATACGATGGATAATAGCAAGGGCTTTTGAAAATACACCATATATTTACAAGTTAATCATATAGCTACTAGACATTTAGAGGCCCTGCTTATGCTGACAGTACAGAAACTCATGAAGTAACTATGTTTTTCTGTTTTTGAGAAGCTCCAATCAACGTGCGTATGCGCGAGATTTAAAATTTCGTTTTTAACCAATAGCAGCTCTAATGACCAATGCTGACGTAGGACCCATAAGAAACCTCTCACCTGTTTCTTGTTGTTCCGATGGCACACTTCCGTCAACGTCATCTGGTTGCTCTGTTGTAGACGCGTCCTCACCGCCAAAAACAGCTGATAAGCTCTCTTGTTGAGCACTCGTTCCTCGAACTGCTCGTCCGTCTCGTCGACCTGCTGCTCCTCGTTCGGGCCGACGGAGGCGGGGAAATCGTAGTCGGGCTGCCACGGCGAATGGGCGCGCTCCGACATGCCGCCGGTGGGACTGCGCGGGTGCGCGTGTTCCTCGTACCCCATGTTCGCCATCTGCGTCTGAAAACGGGTTAGGATGGGCACGTTCTAAGAGGGGGCCACGCCTCCTACTCACCTGATCGTAGCCCATGTTCTCCATTGGCTGGAGGTGCTCTTGAAGTTGCTCGAGCGGTTCTGGCGGCAGCTGCGGCTCGATCGGCGTCGCCGTCGTCATGTCCTGCGGCCCGAGGAGGTCGTCCGGCCCGCCGGGCGTCATCGACGTCACCATGCCCATGTTCTCCTGTTCCTGCAGTATCGACCGGACCTGGTCGGGCGGCAGGTGGGGCATGTCGTCGGGCATGTGGTGTAGCGGGGTGGGCGGGGCCGGCGTCTGCGGATAAGGCGGAGGCTGGCCCGGCATGTGGGGCGTCATGAACGGCGCGAGGGGAGTGCCGGGTGCCATGTCGGGCGCCATCTGCAACGGGGTACCGGGCGGCGGGAAGTGCACGGGCGTGGGCGGCGGCTGGAGGTGAACGGGCGACTGGAAGGGCAGACCAGCGGGCGTGGACGGCATGAGGTGCGACAATGGCTCCTCGATCGGCGACGGCTGGAACGACGTCTCCGGCACGTGAAGAGGCGTCTGGTTCGGCTCCTCCGCCACTTTCCGCTTTCGTCCGCGCCTCGCGGCGGGCGGCGGCGTGATTTCCACGCTGGGCGTTGGTTCTTCGTGGTCCCGCCCCTGGTCGATCGCGAGCGAGTCTGCGTCGCCGAGCATCGCGAAATCCTCTGTTCTTATCGCCCTCAACGTCAGATGGCGCTGATAACTCTGCGCAAATACAACACTCTATTTACAAGCGCGAGTTATTTTGCTATTGTGCATATTTTCCATAATGAGGAGGACATATTGTTTACAATATATATTGATAAATATTGATCTGGCAAAACTATTTGTTGTTGTTGAGTCGAACTCGCTGACGTTTCGCCAATCATGTGTTGGCTTCTTCCTGAGAACTTAACTGGAACTGTTTCAGCAAGTTCGATTCAACAACAACCGACGCAGGGGAAATCCAGAAGTTTTGTAAATAGTATTACAGTAGCCTGTGGAAGTTTCTTTGAAAAATTAAATTTTGGATTAGTTAATGAAACTACAATTATATATTGAAAAAATAAAGTTTTGGGAGTAAGTTCTCTTTCCAGTAATCTCCTAACAGTGGTGTACAGTGTTTACTATAGCTTTGATGATAGCTTGATATGGCATTTGTAACACAAATATATGAAATTTTGCAATTTACAATGTAAAGTCAAGAAAGATAATTAATCGAAGATCATATAAATATGCAGCAACATATTGTTTTCATAAACTACAACATAAATGTAAAGAATTAAAAAGTAACAACTACCCGAGTGCTCAAAACCATAGTGAGATCTAAAAGTCGATATACTGGATGTCCATCTGGAATTTCGTCCATCTGTTATAGGCACTTTAGGTAGTAAAAATTTAAATTAAACTAATGTTATACTTTTTACAAAACTTCTGGATTCCTCCTGACTATTACAGTAGCCTGTGGAAGTTTGTTTGAAAAATTAACTCAACTTTCTTATTTTAAATAGAACAAGCACCCTATTTATTATTGCTTTTTACTATTTTTAGGGAAATTCATAACATATTCTGTGTTTGATAAATATCCTACACCTAAAGCTCATTAAAAATGACGTTTTCAGACCAAACAATATGCGTAAATTTTTTCCCATCTTTAAAATTTCACTATAATAAATTACCCTGTGGAAAATGTTTACTGAACAAATTTAGTTGGCAATTTCGATTATTAATAATAGAGGATCTTGTAACAACTAAAATGAAATTGAATAAACTCATTTTTATAATCCTATAGTAAAATTTCGAATATTTATATTTTTAGAAATATTTCTGTTTAATCCTTTTTACCAGGTCTGCTCTTAAAGTTGAATTACTTGTATGTTGTTGTCGACTGTCGTATAAAAATATTATTAATAACCTTGCCAGCGCGCTTAAATAATTAAATTAAATACGCACGAAGATTGTTTTAATTTGATTATAATTTATCGAGAACGTCAGAAAATTTTGGTTACTTGAAATTATTGAAAAAAACCAAGTTATCCATTAACAGAATCAAATAATTGCACAACTGACAATACAAAACAGTCCCAATTTTTAATTCTAAATTTGATAGAATTATAAAGTGCCCTTAAAAAAGATTTTTGCATGTTAGTTCAATTTTATTTCTATTTATATTTTTTCAACATCCTGTATAACAATATTCAAAATTACCAACTAAATTTGTTCAACAGAACATTTTCTACAGGGTAAGTTAATAGAGGACGAGAAAAATTTAAGTTACTCTTATATTGTACAGGAATATGTCTAGAATATTTGGGCCAATCCAAAAATGCAAGAACATGGAGAGTGCAAATTTTTGCTACCTATAGTTTTCCCATAAAAGATCAACAAAGTTCTCGGTGGGATAACTTGTATAAGCATGAGCGTGGGCAAAATAAATGAACATATAAACTGGAGGTACGAAGCTTGCAACTCTTATTAGGTTAAGTTAGTTGCATTCTGTCTTGTTACTAAATTATTTTGCAGAGCGGAACTTGATTTTTACTGTTGCTTCCAACAAGATGCCAAACGGTTTTCAGGAAATTGTTAAGTATATCTGGGCACTATTCCCTCAAAGATTTTATGGATTTTTATGATATAGCTTGTAACCTGGTGCCTTCTGATTTGTAAATTGTTTTGCCTCATTGTTGTTACCATTTCACACTGTCTCCAGATTTAGTTTAAATCATTAGATTGTACATTGTAAACTTGCCAATTGATTTATTTCCCCTTCCATACTAGACCAGAAGTTTGTCAGTTGGTTACTAGGCTCCTAGTTGTTGCTCAATTATACTCAAAAGATTATACAAATGAAAACTAACCCTTATGGGAGTTTGATGATAAAGAAATAAATTATTAAGTGAAAATCGAACCTTAAACAAGACCCTGGCGGGTATGACGCGGGCGGGAAGCGCGAACAGCTTCTCCACCCCGCCGGTTTCCTTCCAGTGCATCAGACGCTTGGTGGGCGGTGCGAGATCGAGCGTTGTGATGATGTCGCTCGTGTCCGACAGCTGGTTCTTCATCTCCTCGCCCGATATGTTCTTCACCTCGTCGATGATGAGTTTCCGTTTCCTCTTGCTCTTGGTCACACCTAGATAATACATATCTATTAAGACATTAGAGCAGTCCTCGGGGTTCAGTCGAAAATTGTATTTGGTTAAGATGGTGGGCAGGGTTCCCGACGAATCCGCATACCCTTTGGGTTTTCAGAGTTGGCGGGAACCCTAAACGCTCGGCGGCGCGCGTAGGGTTCTTCGCGGGACATTTCACCTTTAAGCACCGACGTGTCCACGGGCGCCAGCGCGAAGCTCTCCTCGTCGTTGTGCACCAAGATGGTTTGGTCCAAGGCGGGAGCGTGGTGAACCTCCTCGGCGACGGCCTCAGCCGCCGTCGGTGCTGGCGTCTGCTGCATCGACCTCAACGATCGGGCAGAGGGCGCCGGCGACGGAGCAGGCGGCACGACGCTTGGGGCCCGGTCCACGGAGATCGGGGGTCGCGAATCGTCAGAACTGTAGACACAAAAAAGGAAATCGCGTTTTTTTTTAAAGTGATGGGAGGTGGAGGTGGTACCTCATGCCGCCGACCGAAGGCGGTCCGCCGAAATTATCCATGTCGCCGTCGTCGTCGCTGTCCGCGTGACCGGCGAGATCTTGGGGTGCCGGTATGGTCGCGTCTACGGGTGGCACGTCTACCATAGGCGCCTCGTCGAACAGACCCCCTTCGAACAATCCAGAAGCTGAAAAACGAGTGTCAATTTCATGACGCTTTGCTGGTGTGGGGAAACAAGCAACCTACATATCAGAGTATCGTCTCGGACAGACGGGTCGATTTCCATCGGTTGTTCGTGGGGTTGCGTGCCTGAAGTAGAAGGTATGGGTTCGTTTTCCTTATCGAGCGCGTCCGTGTCCAAGACCGGCTCGCTGAACAACAGGTTGCTCTAAAACAACCACGACAAAGGTAAAGCAACATGAAATCAAATAAGATTGAAAAATCGTCGCTGGGCAAGGCAAGTTCGAAGCGCCTAGCGCGAAAATGTTTTTTCGCAAAATCGATGTAATTTTATTGTGAATACACTCTGTATAAAGCGTTTTTTACTTATCGCCGAAGTGCAGAGTCACATGATAAATATAAAAATTTGTACAAATAATAGCGCGTACCCTGTATGATGACGAAACCTGAAACTCTCTCTCTCCACACAATATTCGATACTGTTTAAACCAAATTATCCCATGTTTTATAGTTTTCCAATCACGGCCAATAATAATGTTTTTTAACCATAATCGACACACCCTGTACATATTTGAAAAAAATCCGGAAATGGAAGTTATAGCCCTGGATCTTCCACGTTTCCTAGTCCAAGAATTTTTCTAAAATAGTCAATGGTTTTCGAGAAAATAAGATTTTTCTGCAATCATGCAGTGCGTCGTAATAATCAATGACGTCATCGCGCCTTGACAGCCCAGGAATAGTGATTTTCATATGAATTTTTTCAAAATCTAGTATGAAAAAGAACAATTTTTAAAGTCTTTTAGATTTTATTAAATTGAATTAAATTAAAAAATATACTTTGCGGTACTTAATTTTGCTCAACTTTAATAATTTAAATGTGGGTCTGAACTTCTACTTCTCTGCCAAATCTGAAGTCGGTAGCTGCAAATTTAGTGCACTTATTACGTTTTTTAATTTGCAGGGAATATCGCGAACACCCTGTACAATAGATGAAAACCTTAAATACAAAAATTTTAGCTGTCTATATGGGCTATATCGTTATGTAAAAGAAACTGATATCTAAAACACAGATCCCAACCCCCCAATTTCAATAGGTTCAATTTGAAGTCTGTAGCTCAAACCGTTCGGAAGTTATCGTCGAAAAACCCTGGAAAAGAGAACGGATAGACAAAAAATAAAAACTTTTTTTTGCGATGCTGATTTTATCGGTACCAACGGCTCCTTTTTGAATGTTTCAACGTTTTTTTCGAACCTCAAAAGAGCGCAAAATAGAATAAAATAGAATTTATCGATAACTATCGACAATTTATCCATATTCCAAACTGAGATCTGAAAACCCCATGAAAAAATTTTTCCTTCCTCAAATGCCTTTATAAAAAATTTCCAACTCCAATTTCAGACTGAAAAACGACTCAATATTTGATAATAATTCTTAAAATTTTATATCAGCCAGATTTATACACGTGGAGTTTCAAAATTGAGACTTTCGTTCTTAATCTACCTTACCAAAATTTTAAAAAGAAATTAATTTTAGAAAAAACTTAAGTTGGAAGGACTGACTAAAGAGTGCTCCGACCGGTTTTATTCTGTGCTTATGAAGTTCCAATTATGTTATGTTATGCCTCTCCCTGGCCGGGCTCCATTACGAAATATGATGCGTTAAAAGAGATGAATGTTGTTTTATTAAGCATTATGTCTGTCAATAACTTTAATAAGTGAGAAAAGTTTAAGTAAGTAAAATTAAACTTAACAATAATTAAACGCCATGTTATTTATATTCAAAATTCAAATCAGATTTTATGCAATTTTTCATTTACAGCTAATAATTTATGTCCAAAGAAGTAAGTAAAAAGATTGAGCCGTAGAAACAGCGATTTTTTACATGGAATTTTTCAAATAACTCGAGCATTCTGTGTAATAGACAAGAATCGTATATACAATAATTGTAGCACTCGATGCGCCCTACAGCATTGAAACCAAATCACCTCATTTTTTACAAATTTTTATTTAGACCTAATAATTTGCTCTCAAAAAGTACAATTTTCAAAATTTTATAGAATATTGTTCATAATTGAAAAACCCCAAACATAATTTTTTAAAATATTACGTAGACCCAGCCCCTCGAATTTCAATAGATGCTGCCAGGGAACTAAACTACATAATTACGCCAAATTTCAAGTCTAAATTTGTTTCATACCAATGTCCAAAAATAACTGAAAATTGAAAAAAAAAAAAAAGCTGGAGGCCCCAGGTTCAAATAACAGACGCCACTTTTTATTAGCTTATGGAGCTCTGGACTGTTTGAAAGCATACTCGAAAATATGAATTTTGAAAAAGTAACTAGAAGCCATTACCTGCTCCATAGACGGTTCCAAATCGCCCGCGTGTCTAACGAATTCCGGCGCTTCAGTATCGAAACCCATATCTCCAAACCCGTCATCGTGATTTACCAAGGAAATGTTGCCATAATCTTCGCGCATAGTTATCTCCTCCGCACGGGACTGGTTCAAGCTGAACTGTGCCTCAATGTCAACATCACTGAAATATTCTCCTTAAATCACAATTACCACTCAACCTACTACAGCATACTTTAGCTCCGGCATAGTGGTGTCAAAGTCGTGAAAAACTTCAGGTAACGTAATGGCGTTGACCGCTGCCTCTCTGTGCTCTTCAGGAAGGTCGACCATGCCGGGTCTAAAGGCCATTTTAATTTTGACGAAGGCTTCATTGCAATCAGCCAAAAGGTACTTGGCTTTTCGCGAGTATATCCGTACTACACCCAAGAGCAAGTGCCCCGAAGTCCTTAGGGCCAACTTAACCTTGGGCCTTATAATGCCGTCCACCGACTTTTCGATATTGGTTTCAAACACGTGAGCTTTCGTTAACTTTTTGTCCCAATGGGCCGCCAGCCAGATTCTGGCTAGCGGACCTTTTTTCGCCAAAATGAAATGGGAATAGAACATTTCGGCTCCGTTTTAAGCCACCGATTAGTGAACCTAAAACATAAATTATAAACATGTTTACGTTCACGCCGTGACAGCTTGGAAACAACAAATCTAGTTGGCGCCGAAAACGGGTTTCACGATTTTCACCGCGAAAATTAACTCACCCTGCAAAAATAATTATGTGCCGCTAGTGCCGAACATCTGCGTATTATATTCCGATAAGAAACTGCTGCAATTTTCCATTCCAAACACCAAATTTTCGATTTAGCATCAAATACCGTTGCGATAACCAGCATGAACGCGAACCATCAAGATGGCGACCAAGGTTTGAACCGACGTTGCCGGCTTTTCCGCGAGTTGGAGCGATTTTTTGTATCTATTTCGTTTAGTACAATAATAATTGATATGAAAATTAGGGTAATTACGGATCCTTTTTAAATAAGCATGCTTAAACGAGTTGTGAAAATATCAAAAATATCAGAAACAAACTAGCGACTAACTTTGTGCGTGCATTGAAAGATGGCGTCATATGAAAAAGAGTGCTTTACAGTAAACTGAGAATTATGAAGACCAAATTGAAAACATTTTTCTATTTTTTTAGTCTTGTATGAATTTAAAACAATCCTATTCAAATTTATAAATTATAAGTTTATTTTTAAATTTAAGTTGTTAGTAAAGTTAATTTCGTTTTCGGAAGATGTCGCCGCCTGGTATTAACGGAACATATATCTCAATAAATATTATGCTCACAGTTGCTGGTCAGTATTTTCACAATTTTTGTGGTTAGGTAATATTTGGTTTTGCCGACATTTCCTAAATCTTAATTTTTCGTTGTCACGTAGGTATATTTTTGCATATTCCCGCAGCAAACGCTCTATTTGTGGTTCTAGTTACAGTTTAAAGTTGTTATAAAGGAAATCAGCGAAAATTTACGTAGCAAATATCATTCTATTTTTGATACCTCCTTTACTTATATTCAGGGCGAATTTTTCCATTGCCTTCGTTTATTTCAGATTAATTTATGCTGAGAGGTTTGTCCCAGCTGCGGAAAATGGCTTCTTCTGCTATCCCCCAGATTAAAAGTGTGGATATCGACCCGAGCGGAGTTTTCAAGTACATTTTAATCAAGGTTTCCAGCCCCAACGAGTCGGGGAAATTCGAAGACAAGCTCATCGTACGGGGTTATGCGGAATGCCCTTATCACGGTGAGTTCTTCCACAAATGAGTTTTAAGTTCGTTGTTCCCAAAAGTGTAAAATTTATCACGCCACAACTTTTAGTTACAGACCGTATTCCGATTCTCCTCGAAGCTGTAAATAAACCTCTCGAGTATTGCAGAGAAAACATTTTAACGCGACCGAGGTAGCAATGTTTTTTTTTCTCCTTTCCCCCAAAACGATATTAAATCATCCCCGACGCTCCGGTGAAATTTAGAAATTCCGACGCCCACTCGGAACCGAATTTGTTCGCTTTTCTTACCCCGCAGGCTGTCACAACTCTAACCTGTTTGTCTAAAGGAAATTACTTTTTTAAATTGCCCCGAAATAATAATAAAAAAACCGTTTATTTTACGCTTCGAATTTCTCTCGAGACGGCCGCTTATCGGAAACGTAATTATCCCTTCCCGTCTTCTATCCTTTCGGTTGGTGTGACGTAACGGGGGTGAGTTAATAGGCGGCTTACGCTATAGGCTGTCAGCTTTCATTTTCAAAGGTAAAAATTTAACGACAAAAAATATTTTTAATGCCTACGATTTTCGGTATCCCTTAGAACCGCTGTTCGATTCCCGCGAATCGATAAAATCAAGGGCATAAACAATTTTAAAAGAAATGCCCGCAAATGGTGTATTTTTAATATACATATAACAAAAATATAAAAAAAAGAATGGAGACGGTTTTTCTAGGAATGCCGTTTCAAAATTTTTTTTTCTTTTCTTAATCAGTTGTGGGAGGTTCGGTATAGCAAAGATCTCCCTTGCAATTGCAAAATGCTGGAAATTAATTTCGACTTTTTGAAATTTATTTTTATATTGTTTTATTTAAAACTTCTTTTCTATACTTATTTTTAATGTTAACTATAGTTAAGTAAGTATTTTAAAGTTAAGGAAAATTAAAATATTCTTTCTTTAATACTGTTTCCTATGTCTCTGCATGGAAAGTGGTGGGGGTGTTCTGACATTTTCTGAAGTAAATATCTATATCTTCAAAACGGTTTAACGCATTTTATAAGTGCCGTAATTGCGATTGGTTACCTTGTCGCCAGGTGGCGTTTTCTAACATAACCACAAAAAAATCTGAAAAAATAGTAAACGCAACTGTATTACTTTTTTCATGTCATTGGATATACAAGTGGCCAACAAAATATGTTTAAAAGAACTCACAAATTTGGATTTTTGGGAAAAAATTACAAATTGCAATTCTTATATTTATGACTAATTATTTACGAAATATCCCGCAAATTTATTATTTAGGGATGCCAAATAATATCGAAAATAAAAATAAATTGCTATTTATCTTTTGCTTTTATTACAATACCTTTGGCTGGCGCAAAATTATCCAGCACCTGACATTACAACGTTCTGATTTCCTTGCCCGTTTTCAATTAATTTAATGTTATCACTTATTTTTACATTAATAATTAGGTTTAGCAGTGATGGACAAACTTTGGTTTTTATTCTAAAAATCAATGATTTTTATTTAATTGAATCATGTTTTTTTTTTATTTCTCGGTTTTTATTGTAGCAAGTACAAAAAAAATGTGAAAAAATAGTCAACGCAACTATATGACTTATTTCATGTGTCGTTGGATAGTCAAACAGGTGCCCAACAACCCAATGAAAACCGCATCTCAATATCTTTATCCTAACCTAACCTAAAAAAAGAACTCAAAAAAGTTGGATTTTTGGGAAAAATATCCACTTTGCGGTTGTTATTAATAACAAATTATTCCGAATTTAATTAAGTAAAATGTTATTTATCTTTAACTTTTTTTACAATACTTCTTTTTGGCACAGAATTAACCAGAATCTGACATTATAACGTTCTGATGCCCTTGCCAGTTTTCAATTAATTTAATATTATCACTTATTTTATTTTAACTTTGGTTTTTATTAAAAAGGTCAAAAGTCATTGATTATATTTTGATGTATATTTTTGAAAATTTGTCAAGCATAAAAGTTTATGGAGCCGTATCCTCTGCGTTTTCTGGTTCAATATATCAATTTTTTGAAAAATGGTCTTTTTTGTAAACCCTTGCATACGCGATTTTTAATTTTTTTAAAACACTTCCCGACCCTCCAGCCCCCCGCCCCCTCATTTTCAATAGGTTCTGTCACGGGGCAAAGCTGCATATATGTGCCAAATATAAAGTCGATTGCTTCAAAGTTTTGTACCGAAAACTACCTTAAAAATACAGATTTTCACGAAATTATATATTTTGACATGACAATTGTTTCGACAACACCGTGTCTTTATCTGAACTTTTAGTTCTTCTTTATTTTGATAAATGATTTTTCATCAAGTTAAAGCCACCTCAGTTCAATTTAAAACCCCTATTTCTAGGACAAATAATTGGTTTTCCCTCTTGATTTCGAGCATATCAAAGTCAAAAACAAAAAAATGTTTATGCATTTTACTGTCTGAGATGCTGTAAAGCGGTGGAAACATTTACAATATGTTGTTGAATTACCTTTATCAAAAATACATGATCGATATCAGCAGGCACTAACGCCATATAATTTTATAATCTATATGTTGAACCCTCGAAAAATTATGTTTTCGGATGAAATAATAAAAAACATAAATAGAATAAAGTGGTGGATATCACAAAAGAATGAGCTAGAAATTGCACAACAGCTACCAATTATAAAACAGTTCTTGTGATTTGTGATTATGTCAGAAAACGCCACCTGGTGGTAAGGTAATCAATCGCAATCGCGTCATTCATAGCACGATTGATATCTTAGAAAAATTCCCTTTTAACTGCTCCAAATTCATTAGAGTTAATTTGTAGAGTTAGAGCAAACATCGTTGTAGAAAAAATATTTGATATTCTCATATTCTCAGTTTTAAAAGAGTTTTTATTGGGCACTGGTGGATTGGGGCTAATCGGGAGGGAGGGGGAGTAGTCCCATGGGAAATGTCCCCGACGAACATGTTTAGACTCGACTTTTGACATTTCGTTGTAGACACGCACCCCGCGGATAGGGTATTCGATTTCCCAAAGATACATTCAATTTAATGTATTAAATTCAACATTTAATTTGTTAAATGCAGTAAGTGGTGGACAATTTTTGATAAATGTGTGCGCTCAACACGGCCCAAATATAGTTCCTGTATTATCGGCATAGGCGGGGTCTTAGTATCTCTAGTAACTATTTCGAGCAACCACGTAGCTTTTAGGTAGTGTAGTATGGGACTTTACCGTGCGTTCAATTTATCTTAATAACATTTAAATTGGCTGTAACGGTTTTGTTTTTAGAGATATCAAGGTAAATAAAAGAACAAAGTGTAGGGTTGGTAGCCAAGTTTTTTTAAGCGTATAAAACAAAACAATGACATATATATTATGTATGTTATATATGTGTTTAATAGAATATCTTATTCCAAAATCGACAGAAATACGAAATTTTTATAGAATTTCAAAGAGTGCCCTAACTGACTACAACAACAATAATTATTTACAAATTAAAGTAGAACAATAACACAGAATGACAAGACACACTAAAGTAAAAAATTCTTTAACTTTTCTAAATCCTACTACTAATTACATTTCTCATAGACTCGAATTGTATGATTTCTTGCCTTTCTGGATTGTCTCTTCACTCATTGATTGCCTCCGAAATCCTTTACCGAAATTCCACGACATTATTACAAAGGGTTCTCTGCACGTGATTTTTTATGTGCCCCCAAAAGCAAAAATCCATTAAAGTTAAGTCGGGGCTGTTGGCTGGTCAATCTGTAGTTCCGCCGTTCCCTATCCGACCACTGGGATATTGCGTGTTATTTTTTTTTTTTAACTTGCACATCATTGCGAGAAGGGGCACCGTCTTGCTGCCATATAATCAGCGCTGATATATTTAGGGGTAAATCTTCTATATTGGGTGTTCTAAGAGTTGCAAATAATGATCTCCAAAATATGCCCGTCTATGACACCACACCATACATTAATTGATTGGTACCCCTGGATTTTTATTTCGTGTATTTGTCTTCTTCTTCTTAAGGTGCCATATCCATTTCACTGGATGTTGGCGACAATTCTGGCAAATTCTTCGCGATCCTTCGCGGCTCTAAAAAGTGTGTGGGCATCAAGACCGGTCCAGTCCCTAATGTTTTTGAGCCATGAATTCTTCTTTCTACCGATGCCTCGCTTTCCTTCTATTTTTCCCTCCATGATGAGCTTAAGGAATTGGTACTTTGTATTTCTGAAGATGTGGCCCAGGTAAGCTGCTTTCCTTCGTTTAACCAGTTGCAACAACTCTCTCTCCATCCCCATGCGCCTCAGGACTTCGTCGTTGGTGGCGTGATCTGTCCATGCGATTTTGAGCATTCTCCTAAATACCCACATCTCGAATGCTTCCACTCGATTCATAGTGCCAGCCTTAAGGGTCCAGACCTCGACGCCATAAAGTAACACCGAGTACACGTAGCACTTTATGAAGCGGTAGCGTAGTCTCAAACTAAGACTCTGGTTGGTCAGTATGGGTTTCATTTTTATAAACGTCGCCCTAGCTTGTTCGATTCTACCACGAATTTCCATATCTGGGTCTAGGTCCTCGGTTATCCAGCTACCAAGATACTTAAATTTAGAGACCCGCTGTATCCGTTTTCCTCCAGTCGAGACGTCCAAACGCACATCTGGTGTTCTGCTTATGACCATGACCTTAGTTTTTTCAACGTTAATCTTTAGGCCCGAGCGTTCTCCCGTCGCAGATATTCTATCGACAAGGCGTTGTAGTGCTTCTTGACTTTCAGCAATAATTACGGTATCATCTGCGTAGCGGAGGTTGTTGACTGGGAGACCATTGATCTTTATGCCATCATCCGTCTCAAAAAGTGCTCGGTCAAATACGGAATCGGAGTATAAGTTAAAAAGAAGAGGAGACAAGACGCATCCTTGCCTTACGCCTCTCTCTATCGGGAAACTTTGCGTGGTTTCATTTCCCACCCTTACAGAGTCTGTCTGGTTCCAGTACAGGTTCTTTATAA